ACTCAGCCATCACAATTGTCACCTTTGTTAGGTCCCACGCCTTAAATCCTTTCTAGCTCTTCTTGAGGAGAGGGCCTCACCCATCAGTAGGAACTACTGCTCCCTCCAAAGCGTGGCCGGACCCACAAATGGAGGGAACCTCAGAGAGAACAACAGTACTGTGATACCCAGGCTGACTGCACTGTGGGTGGGGCCACCGCCCGGCACTGCTCCCAAGGCAAGGCTGGTGACAGGGAGCTTCCTCGTGGAAGAAGCCAAAGACATGAGCACTAGGCCATCACAGCTGCTGGGGCGGAACTGCAAGAAGCCACCCTGAAAGCAGCAGCCAATAGGATGGAGCTCGGTGATGCCAAGGCAGCAGGACTAGGGCAGGCGTGATGAGCAGAGAGGGAATGGGCCACTCACCTGGCATCTGCTGTCCCTCGGAGTATCCCAGAAGCCACCCAGCAATGGTGTACTACTCTCAAGCTAGGCCTGAGGGCAGGGACACAGGTGTGGACACTGTCCCAGCAGATGAGGCTGCGGAGTGGGGGACACCCCCACCCCCACTGTGGGCTCTGGTGGGCAGCGGTAGGTCCCACTGTTAGTTTCCCAGTGCCTGGCAGGTCATGGGCTCTAGAAGAACATTCGGAATGAGGAAACGGGCTGTTCCGGAAACCATTTTAGCATAGGAAATAGGAAAGGGTAGTCAGTCTCAGGCTGTTGTCACTGTTTTTATCTGACTTTTGCATTTCTGCCCTGATGACTTCCACTAATAGACTGATCAGACCAGTGGCAGTTGCACAATTCACAACTTTTCCTCATAAATAAGAAAGCTGATGACCATTGGCTGAGGTACTCACCCCATGTTTCTGGAAAAGTTGCCTGCCTTCCTTTTATAGAGAATTTCCCTTTCTTGGAGGGAAGTCACTTTGCACCAAGGGTGCATTTGTCCAAGCTGATGGCAGACTCTTTAGAAGGCACTCGTCCTGCCAGAGAAATGCTCGGAAGGCTCTCAGCACAGCTGGCTAAGGGACAAACTGATAAATGGCAAAACTAAGCCAGAACTTGGGCAGCAAGGACAGTCTTTCTCCTTTCCTTTCCCCCTCTTAAAACAGATGATAAACTATTCCCCTCAATGTTATTCACCTTGAATATAGTAACTAGATATTTTTTCTTTCCTTGTCCTTTTTTACACAATCAGTGATGGACTCAGTCCCTGCAGTCCCTTTCAGTTCTTACTTCCTGTGAACTCCCACTTAGCCCTCCTTCCTTCTGGCAAGAATGGCCCCCACACCATAGACAGCCAGCAGTCTGCCATTTTCTTTGAGTCTCCATGGAACATGAACATCAACTAAGCCTTGGGCTCTTTAATTCTAGATGAACGGCTATCAGAGGAGGATCAAAGATGCTACAGAAAAAATGATGGCTGTCATTGCTGAGCTGTCCATGAAACAAGCCCTGACCATTGAACTCCAAAAAGAAGTAAGAGAGAAGGAAGAATTCATCTTCTCTTGCAATTCCAGAATAGAAAAGGGTCTGCCGCTCAATAAAGATATTGAGACAAAATGGTTGAAGGTCCTTCGAGATGAAGAGATGTATGCCATGGCGGTGGCTGAGAAGTCCCGGGTAAGCTTTGGCCGCCATATTGCATTTGTCAAATGTGCCAGGAAGGGCAGTTTTCAGGGGCTCAATCCTCTCATGATATGGGTTCCCCCTCTTTTACCAAAATGCTTGGGACCAGAGGTGTTTGGGATTTTCTCAGATTTTGGAATATTGGCATACATGTAGTGATATCACTTGGGGTTGGAACCTAGATCTAATCAGGGAATTCATGTTCACTGTATTTGCATAGGCTGAAGGTCATTCTACACAGTCATTCTAGTGCACCTGTGTTTCCACTGCAGTTCATCACCAGGTGACTAGTGCTCAAAGAGATTAGGACTTTGGGCCATTTTGGATTTCAGGTTTGGGGATTAGGGATGCTCAACCTGTAGATGAGAACATTTCCATTCTTCCACACATGTAGTCCCAGGAGCCATTAGATGTTTGCTATTTAGAAAAGTGAAAGTACCACAGTCCAAAGTGCCAGTGCCAGCCTCCTACCCAGTGCTCCTGCCTACCATCTGTCTCCAGAGACTGCTTGGGGTACAAGTCAGACTGCCAAGCAGAGGTCTCTACAAGGACCACTATTCACTTTTAAGCTCCAGAAAAACATACATTCCAAACATACGCTGGAGAAACAACGGGGCACAGGGTCTGACTTGTGTCACAAACATGCAAGTAGAACTTGACGACAGATATTGCAGTTGGGCCCCACTGAGCAGTTCTGATAAACCCTCACCCCAGCAGCCGTGTGCTACTTGAGCAACACAGCCCGTTCCAAGGAGCTGTGCACGGGTTGGGGACTGTCTGTTCTCCTGTCCCTTTCCGGGGGTATCAGCCAGCATGGTCCAAGGCTGCTCAGACTCAGCTGTGTCTTCTGGGACCCAAGGATGAAGTAACTTCAGCATTTTCAGAAAACTGAAAGGGAAACTCCTCCTTTGCTCCTAGGAGTTCTTGGAAGCAGAGAATCACCAGTTGCCCAATGGCATCTACACGACTGCGGAGCAGCGTCCAAATGCCTACATCCCCGAGGCAGACGCTACTCTGCCTTTGCCAAAACCATATGGTGCTCTGGCTCCATTTAAGCCCAGCGAGCCCGGAGCCAACATGAGACACATAAGGAAACCTGTTATAAAGCCGATGGAAATCTGAATGTGTGAACCAGTCCAGGCTCCCGTGAGAGAGGATTCAACCAGGCTCCTTCCTACCTACACCTACACCTATGTGAGCTACACCTATGTGAGCACAATACTTCTAACACTGCAGGTATATGAGGTAGTCAACCACAGAGTACAGTGCAGTTTGCTGTTATAATCACCAGCCACTACGTTTTGCATTGTGTTCAGTAGGATGCAGAATTGTCCTACAAGTATGTCAAAGCAAACACTTGAACTGCTCCTGTAACTCCTTTCCACTCTTTATATTGACAATTAGAAATATGTAGTGTGCAACGTGCTGTAAAAGTGCAAAATAAATTTTCAATGAAGTACAAAGGAAGCGCAATGGTCTTTATTAAAGAAAAAGCAGATACTGTTGCATGTGTGCACCCTAAAAAGATAGAGTGACTCTCTGAAAGGGGACTGCCCTCAGTGTTGAAAGGGGACATCTTACTTCGTTGAGGGGTAAGTGGCGCTGGAAGTCATGTTGGCAAAACTAAATCAGATAAAAAGCAGCAGGGACGCTGGTCATTTCTGAAATAACATTACAATTATGTTTGACAGAAGTCCTTTTGCTGTAAAAATGTCCATGCCCTGATTAACCTTCCCTTTAAATTCAGATATTTTACCGTGCTATCTGAAAATAAACTCATTATTTTAAGCTCTGACATCAGATTTTTCAAAAATCTCAAAATACTAATAACTTTGCGTGTGAAAGACTTGAAAATGGGGCAATTCTGCTATAATTTTGTTGCATTTCATATAACTGACTTCCTAACTGAATTATTTCCTCACATACATGATACACAAGTATGTCTGAAAGTTGTGCTTTTACACTCACTAATATGCTGAAGTTCTTTCATACTGGTAGCAGTTAGGAATTTTATTTTACAACTCTGGGGGTGAGAAATATCACATCCTTTTATTTTGCCAAATGAAACATTCTATTCCAAGCCCCTACCCTACCAAAGTAGAGCAAAATTTAACCTCATTCTCATTCTGTGAGTCCTGAATCCAACTGTGATAATCTGTTATTAGTCCGGAGTTCCTCTGATGGGTAACACTGTATAAGCTGTGGTTAACAAAGAAATACTGCATCTTTAAACACAGTCGCTGTGTTGTGGGAATCAGTAACCTCTTTAGGGATTCAAAAACTAGGCAGGTAGGAAGTTTAAACAACCTAAGAATGGAAACATTTAAATTCACAAAGGGACGGAGGCTATAAAATAGTACAGGGTGTGCTACGGGTTGAAAGAAGGCAGGCGCCACCATGCGCTGAAGTGGCCTGGATCACCATCAGGTGGGACTTTTTATGTGGCCCTTAAGCATAAATAAGATTTTAACAGGTGGAGGGGGATTCAGGTGGGAGGAGCAGCCTGAGCCAGCCTTGGGGAACAGACGAAAGTGTTGTGTTCAAGGCCCAGTGAGCTCGCTTGGCTGCCACAGAATGTTCATCCTGTTAGGGTCAGGGTTTGGGGGAGTTGAATGTCAAGGAGTTTGAATTTTGTCATTTAATGAATGCCAAATTATTGAAGGGTTATGAACAGAGGGACAGGGTCACACTGTTCATCTCAAATATATGTTCGATACATTAGGCCCTAAGAAGCAACAGAAACAATCCAAGTTGAAATGAAAGGAAGTGGGGAATGAAAGAAAAGTCCTTATCAAGATTTTCAGGGCCGGGGATTTAGCTCAGTGGTTTCACCGCCTGCTGCGAAAGCACAAGGACCCGAGTTCAATCCCTGGTACCAAAAAAAAAACGAAAAAGATTTTGAGTTGAAGTGACCACGAAGTATGTTAACAAAAAGAGAAATTCTAGAGGCGAGGACAATTTTTAGGCCACATTGGTAATTTTTAGAGAATAAGTTGATTATTAGAAAATAATTATTGTACCAGCTAGCCATATTTATAATCATTAAAATTTCACACATGTACTGAGGGAAACAGTGTAATGAGAGAAAAGCAAAGGGCCACAGGCCAACCCTGGGGAGGAACTGTATTTAGGGGTCCCAAAAGAATTACCATAGGAGAGAAAGAAAGAGGAAAACAGTACAATGAGGTACAGTGAGGTGCCACAGGGGGCTTTTAGAGGAGCAAGTTCATGGACTCAAAAGTCCTGGACGGAGTAAAAAGGCTGTGTTCAAAAGCAGGAAGAGGGCCGGGGATTTAGCTCAGTGGTTTCGCTGCCTGCTGCACAAGTGCAAGGACTCGAGTTCGATCCCCAGTACCAAAAAAGAGCAGGAAGAATCAGGCCAAGGCTCTCAGTATTTAGGTTTTTTTAATGACAAAATTTAACCAAACTTTTATAAATATAAAAAAAGTAAATAAGTTCCATCTGAACCATCACAAAGACAAACGTTATTCTAAATACTATATGTACAAATCACTCACTATATGTTACAAGTTATTCTGTATCAGAGATAGCAGATTTGATTTAGTCCAGATTTTAAAAAATATTCTCTTTCCCAGTAATGTTCTTTATGCAACACTGAATTTTTCTGCTTATGCTATTTTCAGTAACATATCTAGTTTTTGCTGTTCTATGCACTCACCGTTCCACAATTTTTTTTTTTTTTGGTACTGGGAATCGAACTCGGGTCCTTCCCCTTGCGAGGCAGGCGCCAGAACCACTGAGCTAAATCCCCGGCCCAACTGTTCCACATTTTTAAAGGATGTTTTATTTCAGAGTGTAATGGAAGGTAGCTATTGGCCTACCAGGCCAGTAGGAAGAGCCCTGTTTATGCTGTTTCCTGTCTCAGACTGTCATTTCTCTATACTTGACTGCTCATCAGATGCTCAACACTGGAATGAGATACAGCAGTTTCATTCCTCCCAAACATGTATAAAACTAAAACTCAGATGATTCAACAATATATTCTGCTTTGTCCACTTGTAGATATTGCTAAAGAATTCCCAAGAAGAGGAAGGTTAATGAGTAAGATGAAAATGCTGAAAACCAATCTGATTGCATTTTCTCTCTTATAAGCCTAGAAGCATTGTGGTATGTTTTAGAGCTGCTTCTTCTACAAATTCTGCATCCACATTGTCATGTCCTTCAAAATCATTCAGAGCTGGGGGGAAAAACAGAGAGAGAGGATGTGTTACCATGGAGCCATGGAATATTTATAACTTTGTTTCCCACAATTTATTGGAATCACAATTATCTTATATTTTAGTAAAACACATTATTCTGAAAATTTCATTAAACTTCAGCTCCAAGAAAAGGCCTTCACGTCAGCCAAACAGGTTTTCAACCCTTTAAATTCTCTTAAAACTTCAAGGGTGATTATTCCTTTGGTAATTTACATAGCAAACCCTGTGTCGCTAATGAAAATCAATTGCAATAGAGACTTCTTCGTAAATCAGGGGCACTTGGGGAAGAACACAGGGCACAGAAGTGGAAAGGGAAGAACAGCTGGGCCGAGGGAACACAAGGAAAAACCTTGTGAATTACCTTGAGTGGAGGACTCTAGACTGGTCAGAATTTCAATCAAGTAGTTCAGAGGCAGAAAGTCTACACTGAATGATGACTTGTTGATCACAGAACTCCACGGCTAAAAGGGAAACCACTTCTGGTATTAGTTGATTCTCCCAAGCAAGCCCAAATTTAAATAAAGTGTTAAGAACTGGAATTGCTGTTCGCATGGATATATTAAAATGGGCAGATAGGACCCAGAAAGCCTTTAGTGGCTGTGCATTGGCACAGACTCACCTGTTTCTTATAGTTCTGAAGCAGTCTGGTCACATGGTTCCGGGCAATGACATTGGAACTCACAGGATGATCCCAAAGTCGATAGATCTTCTGGCCAATAAGCTACCAGGCAATTGAAAAATGCAGAGCAGGATATATCTCACAGTGCATTAAATATACCCCAGAATTACTCACAATTTTCAAACTATTATTCCACAGTAGCTCATTACTATTCTAACACTCTTGATGATTAATGATCCTTGGAGAAAGGCCATGCTCCTACGAGATGTGCTTCTGAATTTTGAATAAATACTCCCTCAAATGCCACCTGGAAGAAAGTAGTTTATACACTGATACTGCTAACTTCTTTTTCTGAAATGGAATTTACCTGCTCTTTTTCAAAACTGGAGATGGGCATGCCAACCTGAAGTGATATTTTGACAGGAAACTAAAGGTTGAAGGCTTGTTTAATCAACTTCTCTGCCACTGTCTTGCCTACAAAATTTTAATTCCCTAAGAGTGTGGGAGTGGGGAGATCAAATATGGAGACCAAACTAAATGTTCACCAACCTTCCCCAGAGAGACGGAGCCACGGAAAATTAGCTTAGTTCTCTATTCTCGCCTTTGCTTCAGTCAGCCTGGGAGGGAGGGACTGTTACAAAGCAAAACTATTAGGTCCAGGAAGGCCACAGATGCTCCTGTTGGGGACAGTGACAGAGGTACAAGCACTTAAGGTCTATAAACAGTAGACACGGCTGCCTGACCTCTGAGGCTCAGAGGCCTTGCTGTGGAATTTCATATTTTGTAGTATTTCTGACTCCAAGAGCTAATATCTCCCACAAAAAAAGAGTAGGGTGTGCCTTTATAACTATTTCCTCTCGTGTTTTTCATTCTTCCTCTGATCTGGGGATGTTTCCATGCTGGCAGAAATGTAGGAGGAGGAACTGGAGTTCCAGAACTTTCTGACCTCACCTGTACTGCAATTTCTTGTGAGTTCGAATGCCAAAATCACATGTTTCCCCTCTCCCTCCTCCTCAGACTCAGCTGTAAATATTAGTTCAGTTTCCCAAGAGGAGAGAACAGCTAAATGTTCTCTGTGGATAGTGCCAACAAGGCGGGGAGCTGACAGAGGTGGGGACGAACGGGATTCTTGGGAATAGCTGGAAAGGAAAATGATTCAACGGATTTTAGCTAAAAGCAAGTCATGCTCCTCTTTCAAGAAGAAATCGAAGGAGAGCTGTGCCAAGGATTAGGGGAAAGTAAAATTCAGGGTTACCGGAGGAAGCCGCACAATGACGCTGAATTTCAGTTTTTCGTTTTTCTCGGTATTATCCAGATCTACAAGAAAGTTAGGGATTGGAGGGAAAAAAGAGAAAAAGAAAAAAAAGTTATTATAATCCAGCATGTATCTAAAATTGTCCCTTGATTGAGTATAATTGTCTTATGTATTTTATAGTTTTTTGTCCTATTAGTCTGGCTGTTAATCTGAAATTATAATAATTAACTTCATAAGCATTTATAAAATACATAAATGAATCTGATGCTGGCAAAAAAAATTTTAAAGTGTGTGGAAGGGGGGAAAAAGAATTGAGATGTGTCACATACATGTACCAATTCTGCACAATGAATATGATCACTATGGACTTGCAAACATTCACTAATAAAAATTTTTTTAAAAAGAAAGTTGGGGATTGGGAAACAAGACCAACACCTACTTTAATACCTACAAGTTTTTAATTTGTGAGTGGTTGATCTTGCTAATGCATTTTCCAACCTTATATCCTCAGGCTAATCTAACAGCCCTTTGAAAATTTTTAGTTGATAACTGAATTAAAGGGACTTTTCTATAACACAGTGCTAGCCACACTTACAGCATTAGCTACCCTGAGAAATGATAAATGCTTCAGCCTGTATTAACAAACTTCGCCGGTTAATGCACTAAAGCCGAATGACCGCAGTGATAACACGACAGACCTACTGGAAGGACAAATTCACGTGAGTAGTGCATCTGTCATTGGATTTTCTTGCATTTCGAGTCTGACTCTGAAATGACGGTGTTAATAAGCTGAAAACAGGCCGTTTTGTGACACTTTCTTGAGAAATAAGCCTACGCTATCCCTTAGCCTCAAGTACAGAAAAGGAATCCAGCAGCTGTGTGGATCCAGGAGCCCCTGGGCCACAGAAAAGGCTAAAGCCCTCTCTGCTGACCCAGAGCAAGATTCCGGAAACGGACTGCACTCAACGGTACCCGCTGCGTCACTTCCGGGAGCGGGGGGCGGGGGGCGCAGAGCACAGTGGGAACAAGGATGTCCACGTTCACACATGGACAGTAGTAGGTTCCCTTCGGGGGACCCTTCTGAGTGCCGCCGGCCCCGTGTGACTACACAGGTCTCACCCCAGGAAGGCTGGCGGGAAAACACAGAGCCTCTTACCCTTCAGGAGCCTCGTGACCGCCGTTTCGGTGAGAAGCAACACTCCGTTATCGATGTAATTCAGCAGGCTGTGCAGAGGGAGACAGTGGACCCCGAGGATGGTGTGCAGGGTATGGAAACCTAGGGTGAGTGACCAGAGGGCGACAAGGTCAGCCAGCGTCTCCAGCAGCCCAGAGAGTGACCCAGATCATATTAATAAGCACCTTGCTCGCGACTGGGTGCCTGGAATCAAAGTCCTTACACACAAGTTCCAAGTTTCTTTCTTTGTATGATCACAACTAAGCACCGTGCTGGTGTTGGGTAAGTTCCCAGTAAGTCTGTATTTCCTTGACTTTGAGTCCCTCCCCAGGCAAAACAAGGGCAAGGTCTGCTCAGTGGAAAGTTTTACAGTCTAATACATCTCAAATTCTACAGCAAGATAGAAAAGAGAAAAGAGCTTCAAGCTCCATCAACCCAGGCTAACAGGTTATTGAGATGGGAACCGTTTTGCTGAAGGGAAAAAGGCGTCAGAAAGTAACAGTTTATATACCTCATCTCTGGTCATTCCCTTGACAAAGGGTTTTGCAGTCTACTTGGACCAAATTTTAGAAACAAAAGAGTGAATATGACAGCCAGGTATGGTGGCACACACCTATAATCCCAAAACTGCAGTGGCTGAGGCAGGAGGATTGCAAATTCAAGCCCAGCCTAGACTATTTAGTGAGATCCTGTCTCAAAAAATAAAAAAGGGCTAGGGATGTAGCTCAGCTCGAAGGCCCTGGGTTCAGTGTACAGGAAATGGCCAGTTAGCAAATCTGTCAGAAGTTGGTAGAGATGTAGGTCCTCTCTCCAGCCCAAGTCTCATAGGAAGGGCTACCCATATACAATTCGCACAAACCCAGAGTCCCAAGCACACTGCTAATGACAAGGGATCAATGCAGGACACACGAAGAGGACAGCAGAAGAGAAAGAATCAGAAAAGACGTCTTGGAAATGATAGCATTGGAGGGGAGGCTGGACGAGTAGATGCAGTTCCCAGGGGTGGAAATGAGGTGAGAAAACACACCGAGTGAAGACAGCAGGAAATGCTATACTCAGCAGAGAAGGGCCACTTACCAGCAGCAGTAAGCGTTTCTGATCGGGGGCCAGATCATCACAAAATATATGCACATTTAAAAATGTTCTGTGGTACCAGTGTCTGTGACAGAGGCTAGATGCTGAGTGATAGCATGGAGTTTATTTAGGAAACATCTGGGAGGTGGTATTCAAAGGTCTTGAGCAGGATAGAAAGAGGGTTTGAGTTTTTGTTTCGGATACTCATACAACAATAGGCAAAGAATGCATGGAGGAGCCATTTGCCCCGGGAGGGACGAAGACCCACAGGGAGTGAGGAGGGTGGACAGCAGAGGCCTGGCGAGCGTGCAGCCTGGCACCTGATTAGTGTGGGGGTGCCGAGGATCCACAGCCCACTCTTGGTGAATGCACTTGGCCGTGCGCAGGGCCCAGATTCAGAAGCCTCGCCCCATTTTCTCTCTGCGCAGATGAACCATGACCAGTGGGCCCTGAGGGTCACATGAGGTGTGACTCTGCCATAGCAAATGTTAACAGGCTGGCAATGGGGCGAGTGCCCTAGCTTTCCTGAAGCCAAAACAGAAATTGTGACGTTACTAGCTAACCAACAACATGACATCTTTGAAATGGACTTGGAATTCTTTTCCAAATTAAAAAAAAGTCATGAAATTATTCTGAAGAAATATTCATACTAAATTGTTTATATTATTGATTTCCTGGATTCATAATTCCTTCCCCAGCCCAGTATGCGTGGCCTAAAGGTGTCCCTGATGCCCTCCCTTCAGCCCCTGCCGTCCTGGGGCACTGTCCCAAGTTCAGTGGCTCATCTCCTTGTGTGTCAGCTCTCAGGATCTGGGCAAATGGCCCGACTGAGGCCTGAGCTTTAATCCTCGTCCTCAGCACTCAACCTCATCTAGAAGAAAAGGACACACAGATCCTTCTAAACCGCAGATGTCCTGGTTTTAGACCATGGCTTCCCTTTTGTGATCCTCATTCCTTCTCGTCTTTAACCAATTCTGGTTACAAGTTTCTGACACTTGGAACTTAAACAGTATCACTAGTGCAGTCGGCTTGGAGAGCAAGCGTGCTTACAAACATATAAACACCCACATTTATACAGAGACATGCATGTCCACGCAGGATCCTGTGTCACTTCACCCCTCTGCTTCAGTGTCACATGAGTAAAACATTTAAGAAAAACTGGTCTTCCTCACCTGACCCACAGACAGGTCTACTAATAATGCTCAGTCACTGTGGACAGCATCTTTCTGTTTCCCCTCCTTATGCCTATGAAGGAATTCGAGTTGTGTAGAAAGTAGGCTTTCAGGATCGCCCAGCCATAGTAATAGCCCCCAGGAAGTCGGTTCATTTGTTTTCAAAAAGAGCATGAGCACCTGTGATGGTCAAATCTGGAACAGTCGGTCCATGCCCCTACTGCATCTTTTGTGTTAAAGATTAACAATTATGAACTTCAGCCCAAATGCTATATCTACGTTTCATAAAATCTCTTCACTCTTTCTAGGGGACACCTCACTTTTCCTATTCTATTGGGATTTTTTTTTCAAGATTTCATTTTATTAGTACCGTGTATAGAACATAATAATGTTCACATTCCTTGTGAGAAGTTGGTACATGTACAAAACACACACCAGTTCCTCTTTACATCCCCTATCTGGCCCTCCCTCCCCTGTCCACCTGTCTCTCTCTGTTTTTTTTTTTTGGTACTGGGGATCGAACTCGGGTCCTTGCACTTGCACAGCAGGCGGCGAAACCTCTGAGCTAAATGCCCGGCCCTGCCCACCTGTCTCTTGGTCCCTGTGCCTTTCTGTGTCCATGCTTTGCATTGCTGCGTGGGGCTGGTGCATGCACATAACACGTCCCCATTCCTTTCTTGGCCCCTTTCCCCTCCTCCATCTGCTGACCCCCTTCCCCTCTGAGAAAGATCTGTCTCCCTGCTCCTATTATCTGTTATTTCCCTCTTTATTTTTACTTTGGGTTTCTCTTATAAGAGAAAGCATGTGACCTTTAAGCTTGTGTATCTGATTTATTTCACTTAATATTATGGTCTGGCGGTGCACCCATTTTCCTGATGACTCAAAAGTACCCTTCTTTATGGCAAAGTACCCTCCACTGTGAGTAAATACCACATTTTCTTTGTCCATTTATCTGCTGATGAACACATAGGCTACTTCCAGGCTTTAGCTTTTATGAATTGTGCTGCTATAAGCATGGGTGTGCATGGATCACTGTAATATGATGATATTAACTCTTGGGAAGATACCTAGAAGAGGGATAGCTGGGTCAAATGGAATTTCTATTTTTAGGTTTTTGAGGAATCTCCACTCCGATTCCTATAGCAGTTGTAGCAGTTTACACTCCCACCAACAGTGTAGAAGTGTTCTTTCTCCCCACAGCCTGGCCAGCGTTTGTTATTACTTGATTTCTTGATGGCAGCCATTCTTTCTAGGATAAGATGGAATCTCAGTGTTGTTTTAATTCGCATTTCTCTGATGACCAGCAATGTTGAGCATCTCTTCATGTATTTATTGGCCACTTGTACTTCTTCTGAAAAGTGTCTCATTTCATTTGCATATTTTTATTAGGCCTTTTATTTGAGGGGATCTAAATTTTTTGGAGTTCTTTATATATTCTAGATTTGAGTCCTCTATCTGAGGAATCTCTGACAAAGATAATTTTCCTATTCTATAGGTTGTCATTTCACCATGCCAGTTGTTTCTCTTGCTGTGCAAAAGCTTTTTATTTTGTGTTGGGATCATTGAAAACCACCCACTCCCAAGAGAGCGGACGTCTAGCCTCTAAGCAGGCATCTTCATCATGCCAGCCATGAAAGAGTGAATTTACAGTGGGTGATGTTGAGAACACCAGAAGGTCTTTGTTCAAAGTGTGTCCAGGGCCCCAGGGGAGAGGGGAGGCCAGCACGAGATCTGTGTGGGTAGAGGACACATCCAGCCGCTGGATTCTCTTCCACCGATGCCAACAGGAACAGGCATTGCCCAGGCAAGGGGGCAGCAATGGGGACTGGGAGGAGCCCACGAAGCACCTGCTGGAACTGAGGTGGTCTTGGCATGAGCAAGGATGCAGAAAGGGCAGACCGAGCAGCTCACCGCTTCAAAGCCGCGAATGAGTCATCAATGTGCTGTTTGTTACAAATCAGACCTCTCCTGCGGCTTATGTGTGCCGTAACTTAATCGCATATGCCAGAACTCAGAGTATGAATGACTGACGGGATATTTTTGTTGGAAGTCCTGATTTAAATAACTTGGCTTGTAGTTAAATGAATATAATCTTTTTATGAATTTTGATAGTAATGTCAGTTCAGTAGCTCCTGCTTTCCCTTTCTGAAGAGATGGTTGGAATTGATTAGTAATGTTTAACTTTTCACAAGGATGGGGAACGACATCTCAAACCCTGTCAGAGACTGGCTTTATATTTAGGTTCATATAATTGGTCATGTGACTGTGTTCTACTACCTGGGGAATCCTTTATTGTCTCAGGGCAAATCAAGAATCACCCAGGTTTCGCTGAGGATTTAGCTCAGTAGTTCCAGTGCCTGCCTCACAAGTGCAAGGTCCCGAATTCGATCCCCGCTACCAAAAAGAAAAAAAGAGTCGCCCAGGTTTCAATTTGTGTTCATTAGCCTGTCAAAGGCAATGCTTGAAAATAAAGAAGCAATGTCTATTTTATATTTTAAGTTTTAACTATTGCAATTTAATTAGAATTCCTGTATCTAAAATGCTTCCTCTTACTGAAAGGCATGTTAGTGTGCTGTATGTATTACACCAAATAAAGAAAATTTAACACTTCTCACATTTTAATGTTGATCTGTAAATCCAGATGCCTTTAAAAGTCAGCATCATACAATAGCAAATTAACTCTTTACTAAGTCAGATTAAGTTATAATTCAGGATAGTCTTTAAACAGCTATTCAAAACACAAACCTGGCTGGGGATTTAGCTCAGTGGTTTCGCCACCTGCTGTGCAAGTGCAAGGACCTGAGTTCGATCCCCGGTACCAAAAAACCACAAACCCGAGAAGCTATACTGTTGTTTGTGTGATTGGTAGTGCTGCTTTTTGTAAACTCATCAGATTAAAGTGGAGAATCACAAATTTGTGAATTTTGCAACCATACAACTTAAGATAATTAAAAACAAAATCACAGGGCCAGCGATTTAGCTCAGTGGTTCCAGCGCCTGCCTCGCAAGCACAAGGTCCCGAGTTCGATCCCCAATACCAAAAAAAAAATCACAGATCATGAAAAAATAAGTAAAAAATAAAACCATCTATTCCCCTCATGAAGGCGACTTTGATGAGGTAGCTATTACAAAAAAACCCCAGCTGATATATATTTATTCAGTGAAAGCTGGCAAAAAGTTTAACATTCATTAGAACTTACATATAATAATAAATCATGCATTGACCAGGAACCAGTGTTCAACAAGGGTGTCAAGAATACACAAAGGAGGGCCTGGATGTAGCTCAGTGGCGCCACGCCTGCCTGGCAAGTGCAAGGTCCTGAGTTCGATCCCTGGCACCACCAAAAAAAAAAAAAATACACAAAGGAGAAAGGAGAAAGGATCATCTCTTTGAAAAATAAATAGTTCTGGGAAAATCAGATATCCATATGGAAATGAATGAAATGGGACATTTATCTTCACCATACACAAAAATCAACTCAAAATGGGTTAAAAAACTAGTTGTAAGAACTGAAACCAAAAAACTTCTAAAAGAAAACATAAGAATTTTCATGACATTGTTTTTGGCAATGTTTTCTTGAGTGTTGCATCAAAATTATAAGTAACAAAAGCAAAAATATACAAGTGAACTATATCAAACTAAAACACTTCTGTACAGCAAGGGAAATAATCAAGAGTGAAAAGGCAGCCTACAGAATGGGAGAAGATATTTTCGCATATATCTGGAAAGTGTTATATCTAGAGGAGACATACATTTTTAAAATAAACTATAGCAAGGAAACAATCCAATTAAAAAATGGGAGGACTTCAATGGACATTTTTCCAAAGAAGACAATAAATGGCCAACAATTCTATGAAAAGGTGCTCAATATCACTAATCATCAGAGAAATACAAATCATAACTACAATGTGGTGTTTCCTCACACCTCTCAGAAAAGGTATAAGAAAAAAAATAAATTCGGATAAGAATGTGGAAAAATTGAAACCCTTATAGCTGGGAATATAAAATGGTGTAGCCACTGTGAAAAACAGTATGAAATTCCCCCCAAAATATTAAAAATACAAATTACCATCTGATTCACTAATTCCATTTTTGAGTATATAGCCAAAAAAATTGAAATGGAGATTTTAAAGAGAACTATGCATTCTTGTGTTCATTCCAGCATTAATGACAAGATATAGAAACAACATAAATGTCCACTGACAGATGAACAAATAAAGAAAAGGTAGAATATTTATACAAAGGAATATTACTTAGTCTTTAAAAAGGAAATTCTGCCAAAATCAACAACATGGATGAACCTGGTCCTCCATTACGCTAGTTGAAATGAGCCAGTTACGGAAGGGCAAGTACTGCATGATTTCCACTTATTTATATGAAGTATCTAAAACAGTCAAAATCAGAAATAGAATAAAAAGTGATTGCCAGGGCTGGAGAGAGGGGTGGGGGGTCGCTGGTCAGCCGTATAAAAAGTTTGAGATACACAAGATGAATGCATTCTAGAGATCTACCTCACAGATGGTGCCTATAGTTAATAATGTATTGTGCATTCAAAAATGTATGAGGAGGGTAGGTCTCATGTTAGGAACTCCTGCTATAAAAAATAACAAGGCAGATGGTTTACAGCAAGTAGGCGCTTACTCATTTCTTATCATAGATATTAATTTATAACCACAGCTTCCCAACTAGACTCTTACTAATCTTTGTAGCACTAATTTCTGGCACATTTCCTGCCATGAAATCGTTGCTCCACAAACATCTGCAGAGTGAACAAATGGCAAGGTGAATCAGTGACCGAGCGCACATGTCCCGAGGTGTTTTGAGCACTGGCTTGGTCATGTCTCAAAATCCAGGGGAGATTTTTAGGTTCCAAGCACCTGAGAATGAGCTCAATTCCCGGTACAAACCAGACCCACTTCTTCCTCAGCATTCACCTTCAGACACCTCGATCAGACAAACAGGGCCTGGAGACATCAGAGAAAGGGCTTCCGGATCAGCCCCACTGGTAGGACACTGTCAGGCCCTGAAGGTCACAGTCACGAGCTGCAGCACAGAGTAGTCGCCGGGGCAGCTGTGGCCCGTGGAGACCAAGCCCGAGCCCACACACAGGGCCCACCATGCAGTTCATAACGTGCCAACAACCGCGATCCGTGTGAAGAAGCAGAAACAGATTTGTGACAGCAAGGGCCAAGACTTACCAGGAGGCAGAGGTAAAAACAAACTGCTGGTGGCTTCCAAGATCCTGGTCATGAGGTGAAAGACTGCAGATTCAGCAGCACTGCCACTGCCGTCACTGGGTGAAAATGAAGCAGCACGTCAGCCATTTGTCCCAAGCAGGGGACTCACCGTGACATGCTGTGCCTTGGAGAAAGCCCCCTGAATGTGGCAGTGACCGTCACCCAAGGCCGAGACCTGTGGACAGCAGCCTCGTAGGCTGGAAACTGTATTAACTGAAATCCTGCTGGGCAGTGCTGGGCTCCTGTGTCCCTGCGTCCAGGTCACCCGTGTGCCAGGGGGTAGAGGGCAGCTGAGCATGAGGCTGAGACAGGCAGTGTTGCCGCTAGTGAGAACAGCTTTGAACCAGGAGGTTTCCAGGGCTTTGCTAGAACAGCCTTGCTGGCTCTTTGTACCCCACGATAAAGGACAGTGAAAAATACTTGCGTACAGTCGGAGAGCCCAAGAGTCGAGACTGTGCTTCCTCCAACTGGTTTCCAGTATGCAGCAAATGAGGTGCAGCTGCAGGGGAAAGACAGTCTGTTAACCGCTGCCCAGACCCCTTCCCTCAAGGCCCCTCCAGCCATAAGCAGCTGGCTGTGCCCGGAAACACAACTGCCCTTTCTGAGGTCAGCCGGAGGCACTGGAGGTGGAGAGGGAAGATGGAAAATGCACCTGGAGCCTAACAGGGCACACTGTCTGCCGGGCAGCTGACCCAGCTCCCCTCTGCAGACCCTCACCCATCGGGAGGTCAATGAGCACGTGCTGCGGAGAAAGGGTGTCAAGTCTGGGTTCTGTGGTTCCCTAGCTGTGTGACCCTCGAAAGGTGCCAATCCCCCTAAACCTCAGTGTCCTCAGCTGTCACATGAGGGAGGGCCCTGGACAGGGCTGCCTGTGAGAATATGAGCACACTGATCGGAACCAGGTGGTCAGTGCAGTATCACGGTAATCGACCCAAGTAGACGGCTTTCCCTGCCTCAGAGCTTCTTCCAGAAACCCATTCTAATTCCCTGCCATCTCAGCGGCACAGCAGTCTCTGCTAGGCGATGGACCCTGAATCCGCACATGGCACCTACAAGCTAAGAATGGGGCAGAGCAGAAAGGGGTCCCCAGGTGCGCAGGGGAAACCATCCCCAGGGAGACGCATTGTTGGGCTCGGGAGCAGCTTCCTGGTATATATTTTAGAATATGCCCAGCCACGCCTCCCACTCCTGTGCTGCTGGACAGGGCAGGGGGATTTGCCCTCAATTAGGGACACTGGGTTCTGAGTCTACACACATATTACCTCTGTGCCTACTCACTCCAGGCACTGTTAACACAAATTAGCGCCGAAACATTGATGGAGCCAGGTACTCTGGGAGGCTGATGCAAGAGGATTACAAGTTTAAGCCCAGCCTGGGCAACCTAGTAACTCAGTAAGACCCTGTCTTAAAATTTTAAAATTTTCAAAAAGGGTTGGGGATATAGCTCAGCATGGAGGACTTGGGTTCAATCCCTAGTACACCACCAAAAAACAACTACAGAGAAGAACGCTGCTTGAATGAAAACCCTTCTTGACGCTTTGGAAGGTGAAACTTAAAATCTACAGAAAAGAAAGATGTCAGGTAGGTGTGTTAAATTATCATGAGGTACGACCTACAGGGGTGAGAAAACAAGCAAGCATCAACATGGGGAAGATCAATAACACATTCATAAAGTGAGCCCATAAGCAGGCCATGGAGTCTTCCCTTATCAAGCCTGCTTATAAATATCACTAGATGCAAATAACCAACCTCTTCTAATACAGTAAAAACTATGAAACTCAAATCTTTCCATAGAAATCAAATTATTGTCCAAAAGCAAACACTAATAACTGCAATAGAGGAAGAAAACTTCAACTTGAAAGAGATTAAATCAGAATCACATCTAATAAACCTAACCTTCCAAGGTTCACTGCAAAAATAAATGTGTAGAAATGATTGCTTTCTCTATGGAGGAGCTAGAAGTTGCCACAATGCGATGTGGATCACTTGGCAACCACCCCAAATTTGTTGTCCTTTGCTTCCATGAGAGTAAAATCATTAGTGAAAGGGGGCAATAAACCAATTTCAAAGCCAGTTTCTTTCTGTTTGTCGTTATTTCTCTATCCTCAATCTGTAGCTCCAAATATAGTGGTTTGAGGATGGTAGATCTCCAAAAACCCGATCTGAAAAATACACAAATGTTCTCACTGAACTGCCCACATTCTGATGGTTAGACACGGGGAGGAGGCAATGAGGGCGAGGAGAAAAAGCAAAACCAACCAGTTTTGAAGTGTAGTCCACAGCCATCTGTTCAATTTTCTTCTTCTCTACACCTTGTAGGTATCTCAGAAGATGGTCTTTTAGCTCAGACACCATCTGAAACAGGACATGCATTAGACACGTCACAGTAGAGTCACACCTGCAGCTGGCTTTAATTAGAGCCCCTTATTAATATTCCTTATCGGTGTGGAAAACACCAGGTCTTGAGATCCCATGAGCAGAAATGCTGGCTCTCAGTATTTCTCCGGTGAGATAAACCAGGAGACCCCAACATTTCCTCAAGAGGAGCTACTTAGGGTTCTCCCAGAGCCCAGGGAACACCTGAGAGAGAGCCAGGCCCAGGCCCTGGCGAGAACTCTCCAAAAAGGCCTATGGGGGTCACGGGCGTAGAAGTGAAGGGCTTTGGGATCTGCCAAGGGATTTTGATCCCCTGCTCTTGGGGCTGCAGGCTCAGGCAGGAACCTAAGGTCTACACGCCTCTCTTCCCACCAGTCTCCCCAGTCAGGGGTCAGCATTCCTTGCCACCCATCATTTGCTTTTCTTTCCTCCCTCCTCCTCCTCTTCCTCTTCCCTCTTTGGGCCTAGATGCCCTGCCCAGCACGAGACCCTCCTGCCTAGAGATCTTTGTACCAACAAACAGCCCATGAGATCCCTACGGCTGCCACCCTGCACACCTGTCATCTATTCCTGCCAATGGCCCTGGCTTGCAGGGCCAAGGTACAGCGATATTTTATTTCAGTCCAGTCTCCTCCATGTGCTAGTTCATTTGGCTTTTTTTTTTAGGTTTTTCTTTCTGTTTAAGAAATAGTGCAAACTTTTTCATGCTCTTTTCTATAATAACCATAAAGATGAAAATTCAAATTACTCATAAGCCTACCATCTACACAAACATTTGAGGTTTTCTCCTCTTTTTTCTGGTGTGCACACACATTCAAATGTTTTGTAATCTGCTTTTTTTCCACATAAGAGTTGCTTTATGTCATTAAATGTTCTTTATCACACCAGTTCTAATGACCTCAGTATCAATTTTATGAAAGCACAACAATTATTCCTTTCATGTACATATATTTCTTTTGCTATTCTTAGTAACACCACAAATATATAGAAATTGTTTGCCAGACCCCCAATTATTTTGTCAGACTAAGTTCACAGAAATGGAATTTGCTGGGTTGCATACATAAGGTTGGCAAGGCCCTGTATCTCTGGCCATTTTCTAGTGCATTTCATGGGGCTCTCCAGTTCCCTGTACCCTGAACTTTGCTGTGTGATTTTTAAATCTTTGCCAATTTGATATTTAAAAAAGCCAAAAAATCACTTGTGCTGTTGGCATTTGACGACGGTTACACTGAGCATTTTTCTGTTCTCTCCCACTCTAGACTGTTTGACCATTTGCTTTTGGAAACAGATTGATCAATGCCTTTCTCTACATTTCCCTCCTGCTGTATTATTTTCTTACTGGTTTATAAACTTTATATACCACATGCCAATCATTTGACACATTTGGTGCAATTTTTGTCTAAGTTTATCATTGCCTCTTTTCTGTTTAAATCTTTATTCAGTCACATCTTGTCCTATCTGTCTACATTCAATAATATCATGTAAGGTCTTCTCTATTTCAGCTTTAACTATCCACTCATTCAGGTTCCTTCACACAGTTTAATTTTTTAAAGTAAACTCCTTAAACTAGCAATCCTCCTGTCTCAGCCACCTTAGTGGTAGAATGACAGGCCTGGTTCTCTACTAAACTCCTTAATCTGTCTGTTATTTCTATTGATTTATTGTATAAAATAATGATTTGGGATACAAAGAATCTAAACTTTCTTTTCCAAATAGTTAACCATTAACCAACTGATATATTAAAACTGCTTTCTTTCCACACCAATTTTTTAATATTGATTATACACGAAATATTAAATTTAAACTAAACTCTACTAAATGCTTATCTTCATGTCCATATTGTTTTTCTATTATTGTACATAAGCACATTTTTATTTTGGTATTGGGGATCGAACTCGGGTCCTTGCGCTTGAGCAGCAGGAGGCAAAACCACTGAGCTAAATCCCCAGCCCCATAAGCACACATTTAGATATCTGATAACACCAGTCCCACTTCTCCTTAATTTTTCAAGTAAGTTACCTTTTGAGTTGTAATTTTATTAAACCCAGACACTAATGATTTGAAATAAAATATTGTACTTCATTCACTTTTCTGCTTACTCTTTATTAACTCTTTAAAGAATTTGCTCTTTTATTATTTTCCATTTTCTCAGTTGGTCAGCGGCTGTTGCATAAGACAGTCATATCACCTTCCTTCCATTTGGTTTCTTATTGCAGTGGCTACAGTTTTCAGAACAATGTAAAATTATAGCAAAAATAACCTTCAGTGTTCCATTAAAAGATGTTGGCTATGTGCAAGCGCAAGGACCTGAGTTCGATCCCTGGTACCAAAAAAAAAAAAAAGATGTTGGCTATTACTATGAGACTACTTGTCTACTGAGTTAGTATATTTCAGGAGCAGAATTTGACTTTTGTCCTCTTTCAATGCCTAGAAAAATGACCTTTTCTTCTTCTTTGACCTTGAAATGCAAATTTCACTAAAACAGTTAGTGGAAAAGAATCGAACTTAAAAAAAAGAAGAATTGAACTTGACCTTGTTGTGTTTTCAAGAGACTGAGAGTATGTTAATGAAGCTTGGGGTGGCTACATCTATGAGTCAGTGTTGCCAGATTTTGGGCCTACGGCTATGTGGGTTCTTTAAAATGACTGAGAAGCTTTCTGTCTTCTTTCAAAAGATATTTTATGGACACAGGGGTGCTCTGGTCCTTGAAAATTTGAAAGAACAAACTTGAAGCCTCCTTTTGAGATATTTAACATTTTCATTCAAAGTATTTCACAGATATTGTGCTTCCAGATTCTCTATTTCTTCTTGGATCAAGTTCTGTAATCTCTATTTGCCAAGAAAATTCTCTGTTTAACTGGAATTGTCAGGGATATATATATATATGGATTTCTACATATTTTCTCATACAGTATTTTCAAATTTGCCATAGCTAAAGTACAGATTTACCCATTCTTAAGTCTACATGGCTCTAAAAACATTTCATTTGACTTTCTAGATGTCTCTGTATTTTGTAAAAGGTTTCAGATTTATTCACCAAGTCTGCTCTTCAGTTGATTTACCTTGATTTCTATTTCTTTGGTCATCCTAGCACTTGGGTTCCCTTCACAAAGAATACTTTGTTGGATTTTAAACTCCATATACAAGTGTCACAAAAATGTTACCCTTTTTTTCCTTAAACACCTTCAACATCATGGGTTCCTTATCATGATTTGTAATTACATAGTCACTGGTGTGACTAGCGCATCCCCTCCACTAACTGCGTATTCCACAAGGGCAGACATTGTGTATGTGTTGCTGGCCACTGACACAGGCTACAGCACAGGCAGCACTGTTTGTTGGAAGAATCGAGGGGAAACTCCCCTCGCCCCAGCACCAGGGCGCACAGATGCTTACCAGCCCCACTAGCAGCCTGTGGCGGGTGTCCTCCTCCTGCAGGAGGGGTGCTAGCCTTGGCTCTGGAATCAAACAGAACAGAGTCACAGGGTGGCTTCCAGAGAGTGGACTGAGGAAAGAGGCTTCCCTTCTGCATCGCTGGGAAGACGTAACCCTTTCCATAGCTCAGCGTGACCCAGTCCTACAAGCCCAGTTTAGGTGACACAGACAGAGCCATCACGCAAAAAGGAAAAGACTGAGAAAGAAAGAGAACGAGGAACCCAATCCCCAGCACCAGTAGGTTCTGGCCTCAACGTCTCCTCAGTATGGAAACTCGCCGCAAAGAACCTCTGCTTCCTGGAGACAGGGCCCAGGCCTCTCAGCCCAAGGCTGCCAGGACTGAGGCCCGGTGAGACTCATGGAGTCAGGGATTAGAAAAGACTGGCTCTTTTCTGCTTTCTGAGCTGATGGTTCAGTGACCTTGGGAGTCACCAAGCTAAGGGCCGCAGTCAGTGCCTGAGGCGAATGAAACTACTCGGCTAAGGCTGAGGTAGAAAGGTACAGGAAGGTCAAACCAGGTCACTGTCACGGTGCACTGGGCTGTGCACGTAGCTGTGAGGCGTGAAGTTACACACTAGCTCAGCTGGTCTCCATTACAGCCCCCAGCATACACCCAAGACATCCACGCCCATGAAACAGAAATGTGTGCAGAAATATAGGACAACCTTCGTCGGGCATAATGGAAAGCACTGTCCGCCTGGACAGACCCAGCTCCCCGTCCTGTTACCCCTGGCTAAGTCCCAATTGTCAAGCCCTAAATAACCCATCTGTCCCCACTCAGGCCTCTTCCAACCTCCCTCGAACCCTGCCATCCCTACTCCTTCCCCATCCTTCTGACCCCAAGCCCAGAAGGAACAGGATGCCTGTGGCTTGGTTTACAAATGTGTTCCTGTTCCTCCCTCACAGGCTAAGGATGGAGCAGCCACTTCCGGCACCCCACGTGCACGCACCTGTGCTAGCTGCTCCTGCATAGCCCCACTGGCCCTCTTTCCCTACACTAGCCCTGAGGTGGCCAATTTGCCCAGCATCACACGGGCATCGAGACAGCTCTGGACCGGAGCCCACTTCTCCCTGGCTCCTGAGCCCGGCTCTTCCTCCAGAACTGCCCTGCTCCCCTAGAGGCGCCTCATTTTGGCACCTGAGGACCTAGCCCAGTGCAAGCCAAGTGTTAACCACAACGAATGGCACACACAAGTCAAAGGGCCTGTGTGATGAGACAGCTGGAGAGCAGCAGCCCCGTGCCAGGGGAACTGCCAAAGGGCATCCAGCGGGCACAGCCAGAGGGCATGTGAGTCACATCAGCCCCAGAGGACAAACCAGGAAAGCCAAAGGCCCAACTCCCAGGGACTGAGCACATCTAGCAGCTGTCCCTGAAGGCACCAGTGCCAGGACAGCCTAGAAATGGTTGCGTGGTCAGTGAAACAAGGTGATACTAAAGGGCGCTGCCTTCATCACACCACTGCTAGTGATTTCCTTGCCAACCCAGAGCAGCAGGGAGAACAGTGTTACAGACAAAACACTGAAAACAGGAGGCCTTAAAACAGGACTTCTCTTACCCAAATGCCTTGCTTCAACATTAGAAATCACCCTAGAAAGAAATTAGCAATGTTATTCACAGGCAGCACTGGGTTTTTTGGGGGGTTTGTTTTTATTTTTTTAAATGAAGCTACAACACTACGCAAAGATATCCTCCTTAAAAGAAAACAGAAAGGAAAAAAAAAACACTGCAGAAACTGCTCTCAGGCTTCCGGAAAACCTCAAAAACTTTAATTAATGTAGCAAAAGCCACATTAGGCAATCATAAAATCTTAAAACCCGTTAACGCCAACAATGGCAATTAATTTAGAACAACTGCATTCTCAGTTATTGGAAATAATGAGGGCAGGAAATAGAACAGAGGTTGGAGTAGGGCCTGCTCTGTTAGCACTCTGAGGTGACTCATCCACCCCAAAATATGCTTTCAAAATAAGAGCAGGCTCTCTGGCCCACTAACTGTTCTATTTTGTTTTATTCAACCTACTCCCTGTCCTTGTCCTCAGAAGTGCTCATTTATACATCCTCCACCCCTGGGCACAAGTCTGGAAGGCTTCACACAGAAGATTTTCCCACTAGAACAAATCCAGAATGGGGCCCAAGAAGCTGCACTTACGAGCTGCAGTCCCATCGTGCTGAGAATATGTAGCTGAAGTAAGCAACTGCCACAAAAAGAAGCCAACAGGGTCAAAGAGAACCATCTCACAGATACAAGAAGCCTTCATTTTACTTACTTTACTGCACTGTGGAGAATGTTCCTCACATACACTGTGGGCCTTCTTTTTCCTGTTTCCTAGGAGTGAGAACATGTCAGGGTGTGGCACATGAAGGTTCTGTGGGTGGCTTTCGTACATCAAGGACACAATGCAACATAGCTAAGAGTTTCAGAAAGAAAAATACATACTTTCCAGGTCATCAGAAGACCCAGATGTTTTTACAAAAAAAAAAAAAAAAAAGTAAATGTTTATTCTAAAGCAAGAACAGACTTGCAGAAGTTACAAGTCAACTATACAACAACACATGCCAGATACAGTAATGTTACAGAGACCCCCTCATCCCTGCTCCCACCCCCCCAGGGTGTGTGTCTCACATAGCTGGACTAAAGCATCACATCGGGAAGCTGACACTGGCACAACGTGTGTGCACGTGCGTGGTTCTGTGTCATCTTTTCCCGCGTGTAGCTTCCTGTCCCCCAGCGTACCACAACCAGGACTCTCCCAGGCCCCCCAGATCTCCCGGTGCCCCTGTATGTCAGTCCCACCCACCTCCTACCCCTAACCTCCGCTCACTTGGGGACACCGGGATTTTTAAATCAGTTTCCATGCGGGTGACCCAGCACACGGCGGGGACGTGGATAGTAATCACGCTTCCACTGTGACCTTGCTGAGTGTCGCTTAACCTCTCTGGACTCGGGGTCCTGGTGGTGGCCCTGCAGGGCCCCGGGAGGTGTGTGGTGACAGCAGACAATGCAGCAACGGGAAGCGCGGTGACCGGGAAGCATGGCGCCCACCTGTGACCAGACCGTTGGACTCCGCAGCCTCTGTCCCCAGCACCCTTGTAACTCGGCGACCAGGTTGTGCCACTCCCTCCAGACCACGCTGTTGGTGTAGCGCGAGGGTGGCGTGGCGTACTTGACGTGCTCTAGGTTGGAGTTCAGCTTTTCCCAGTAGCCCTGAAAGCTGTGGACCTGGAGGGATAAGACCATCAGCGACTGGAGCAGCAGCCCCGTGCCACACACGGCCCAGCGAGGACCCGCGGCCTCTCTGCCACAGCTCCAGGTGGCAGTGTTCTGGAGTGTACACTTTGTCCTTCACTCCCACCCCTTTGTAATAGAGGAACCGCTGCTCTCCCCCACACAGGACGTCCCTGGGGGAGGGGCTCCTCCCCCAGGGACACATGTTCCTGACTTAGGTGATGCCAACAGTGCCATGTTCAGTCCGAGGACACTCACACAAGCAAAGCGCGCTTACATTCCTGCTGAGCTTGTTCACGATTTCCAAGGGTATTTTTCAAACCATAGGAATCACAAAGAGGATAAAATGGAGTTCATATTCAGCTGTCAAGTACTCCCACAGAATCAGCTGGCCTTCCAGGCTTTGAATTATTCCTAACTGCACTACCCTGGAGCAAGACTGTGCCCATCTGACTGGTTCCTAATAATAAAAATGCAGCACTAATGTGTTTAATGTTGAAGTATATACGGACACAGATCGGTTTCCCAATCAAGGAAGATGGATTTATGATGCATTCTTTCTCGCCAAAGTTTGTATTGTGTTTATAAGGGACTTGACTTATGTCATGGGTGGTTGTAAAACACCTGATGGGCTTGGATGAACTGGAAGAAAATGAGAGAACTTAAATAAAATATATCTCATTTAAGAAAAGTGCTCTAATGTTAAATAACACAGTGTTATCTGGGCTGGGGATTTAGCCCAGTGGTTCCACCACCTGCCTCGAAAGTGCAAGGTCCCATGTTCGATCCCAGGTACCCCCCCCCAAAAAAAACAGTGTTATCCAATTTTTTATTGAAAAAAGTAGTCACAGTTGGATTGAACCTGATTTCAGGGTATCAGTAAAGTGAGTTGTGATATTTTAAAACATGTTGTTTCAGAAATCTACAATGCCCACCCACCCCAAGCCCCTTCTCCTGGAGACAGGAAAGACTTTAATCAGTGAAGCAGGAGCCACTCTGGGCAACTGTAGTCTCCAGAACTAAGGCAGTGTGGTTTCCAGGGGAAATGGGAACACTGGCCCTGGGCCTGACCCCCCTCTTGACTTCCCTTGCTCATTTCTTTAAAACTATTAGTAGTAGTACTTATTTATAATGAATATAGCTCTACTCACCCTTTGTTTCTTCCTTGTATAGAAAAGAAAAAAAGTACATAAAGACCCTTGCAGACATTTGGCTTGATCACATCCCTGACCTGAAATCCCCACCACTTTCCTGCTGTCCCACATGGGGACTCACTGGACCACCAGGGCCCAAAGCTGTAGTTGGGGTTGTAGTGCCATCTAGTGGCCACTTGGCCACACGCCTTGCCTGTCCCAGCCCCATAGTGCCACTGATTCCTAGGCCAGGGCAGGGCAGGGAAGGTCGACCTGTTGTCTGGCCTGATCCCCTCTGCCAAATGTTGCCAAGAGGACAGAGGACTTCATTGATACTATGATTCCTAAAAAAAGTCCTTGCAAACTACCTGCCATCTCCCTCTTGTCCATTTAAAGACTACCTCTCCTTACAACCTTTGTCAGCTGAGAATAAAGGCAGAAATCAGACTTCCCAAGAGACCACAGCAGGCTCTGGAGGGCTGAGAGACCTGCTGGCTGTCCAGACGTGGAGGGTGTCATCATATGAGCCTCGCCTGGGGACAGAATCTACACCTTATACAAGATTTTCAAAGGACTTCACGGCCTAATGTACTTCAAACCCACTGAGTTAGAAGAGGTCCTGAATTCAAAACAAGACAAAAATTAAAACTTACATTGAGGTATGAAACACTGTTATCCAGAGCCCCAGAAACATTCCCTGTGTACCAACAGGTCTTTTGGGGAGGTCACTGGTCTACTAAAATACCTATAGCATCTTCCAGAAATGAAGAGAGGACAGAGGAAAAACAGCTCATGTATACACCACTATCTGGCATCAACTAAGTAAGTGATGAAATTTTTAAGTGACGAAAATAAAAACATCACTGTAAACTGAAAAGTCTGGAGGCCTGGGAAATAGACATGGCCCAGGGGATAGATAAGGATTTGAGCAAGTGACAGATAAGAGGATTTCCGTGTGGGGCTCAGAGTGTGAGCAAAGCCTGAGAAACCAGAATGTGGATTCTGGGTTTAGATAAAAGGCAAACCATTGGAGAGAACAGAGCGACCCTCCAACAGTGTTCATTCCCTGCTGCCTCCTCCTGCGTGAGAGTCCCAGCCGCAGGGCCCAGTCTTTCTACTGAGATCCGCTGCCCAGAGATTTAATTGGTTTGCAGTGTGGCCCGAGCCTCAGGAGTTGTAGTTTCCTCAGCTGATCCTTGTGTTCAGCCAGGGCCAACAATGCTGCTTGAGCAAATCCAAGTAGCTGTGGTCACCCTCCTGCGTAAGCCAACCTCTGCCTATGGGATAATGGAGATCCAGCTCCTGAAAGGCCTGTGATGCTTTAGAAACAGGGGATGCAGGTGAAGAGCAGGTCAGGGCCCAGCTCTGAGGGATCCCAAATGCCAAGGGGTCACCAGTACACTCAATCCAGAAAGTTAAAGTAGCTTCCACAGAGACTTTTAGATATCATGGCCTAGAATGGAGGGGATGGGAGGGAAGGGAGTAGATCCTATGGGCCCAGGCACAGCACCTCGCCTCTGTGCTGGAGGTGGCCTGGGAGCACAGATGCCACTGCGGGTCAGCTGGCACTGGGGCAGTGGGGCCACACTGAGCACTGCTCCTTTCGAGAACAACGACAACACAGACTGAAGGCCACCAGCCCATGGAGCACATCACCAGGTACTTGAAAAGAGTGCGCTTTATAAGGAAAAAATTCTCTGAATTTAGCTCCTCCTGGAAGACTGGGATTAGGTGTGGAGATCAGATGGGAAGAGCGAGGCCTCACTGGCCTCCTCGGTGAGCACTGAGGAGAAAGAGGGCGTGCAAGCGTGCTAACATGCTGCAGGGAAAGTAGAAACACCGGAGGGTAAGTTGTTTACCTGGAGGAGTGCAGAGGAGGGAGGGAGACAGGTGAGTCCTGTGAACTCCAACTGCTCATGCCCGGGTCCGAGTGAATAAAGCCAAGGTGCAGCAGTCCTTTGGGGCTCCATATCCAAGGGAGAAACAGGAGCCTACTGGCCCCCAGATTTTAACTTGTTTGTGTCTATTTTTCACCTTTGTCACCCCTTGGCCAGGTTTGAGCTCATCTCATAGGCTGCTTCCTACAGTTAAGGACAATCAGCTCCTTGGGGAATGACCCAGGAGCATTTTTCTGCACAAAAGGGCATGTTAGCTTTTTCTCTGGAAAGAAGAATTATCCTTAAGTCTTCTCGAGAAATAATCTCATTTTGTCTCTCAGGATGCCGGAAACAATTGCCAAATGCAGCCCACCACAAACATTAACTGAAAAGAGAGACCCGTGGGTTTGATAAAGGGAACCGTTTCCGCTTTCTGCCTTGGACAACTAACTGATCCAGACAAAAGACAACTTGAAGCCCTGTGGCACTGGCTCATCTGCAAATTATTGTCAGGAATAAACATCTTCCTTTCTTTTCTAAAAGGCCTTCTGGCTTGGGTTCTACTTCTGAGTAATTGGCAGCATTGGAGGGAGGGAGGCAGGACAGAGTAAGCTCTTATCCTGGACGCCAGGACACATGCAGCAGAGCTAAAGCGTCCATCTAGTCTGGCTCCTCCACAGAGCCCATCTTTATATCCGCTTTTACAGCCCAGAGCAACACCATAACCCACTAACTAGCATGGACTGAATAAAATAGGAAATGTCTATGTGCTGGGTGTGGTGCCACTGCCTGTAATCCTGACACCTGGGGAGGCTGGGGGAATGCAAATTCAAGTCTAGTTCACTTTAGCAACTTAATGAGACCCTGTCTCAAGACTTTTTAATTTTTTAAAAGTCTGAAGATGTAGTTCAGTGCAAAGATCTTGATTTTATTCCCCAGTACCAGAAAGAGAGACAGACAACGTGAGCGCTAAGCCTCTACAGCAGGCACGTGCTGCACAGACAGTTTGCATTCCTGGGGCGAACGCTGCAGATTCAAGGTCTGAGTATAAATGGACTTCCTCCGCCTCTCCCAATAGCTAGCAGAAAAAGGCTCTCTTGCCCAGCTGGAGGTTCTGTTAGCCATTTTTTTAATGGCCTGGATTTTGATAACTCATCACCAACTATGGCTCTAAACTTCTGGCTTGCGTGAGTCATGCTGAATGAAGAGGAACTGTCTTGAGCCACATATAAACACCACAATGTAGTTAACGTGTATAAGGAACAAAACGATTTATCTTACAAAACACACAAATCCGAGTTTACTCGTTAAATGAGAAGACTGGCATCTGCTTAGTAACAATAAACGCCTGTTCTCTGCGCGCACACGTGGCCGGGCTGCGATCCTGTTCTCTGTGATCGTGGCGTTTTACCACGGTGCAGGCGGTGCGGTCGGTACCTCACTGCGCCCCCTGCACGTCCCCGCGTCCCCCGTTCCCCAGCCCCTCGCAGTCCGCACTGAAGCACAGCAGAATCCAGTCGTGAAAAAAGCGCTAGGCTAGGAGCCAGGGCTCTCACGGGGCCGCCTCCCTGGCCAGCCAGGCCCGTGCAAGCCCCGGGCTGAACGCGCGTGTCTCACCACTCCCCGCACCCCTGGCTTTCTCGGGCCTGCGCCCTGAGAGCCAGTTCTCGGCCTTAAAACCTAAACACGCCGCTAACCAGAACCATGAAGAGGCGCCGCACAGCCTCACGGCCGTCCCAGAAAGACAAAGCAACCCAGCTCTACAGACAGCACGGGGCGAGCCTCTGCTAAGAGGAAGGTTTCTTTGCAGCACCGTAAAACGGTGACTTACAATGTTAATTGAGCTTACTATAAACTCACTGTCCCCAAAACAGGTGCAAGCTGAACTTTGGAAAAATCGATTATTTCTCACTGTCTTAGTTACTTTTCTCATCGCTGAGACTAAATACCCGACATCCAAAGTTAAGGGAGGAAAGGTTTATTTAGCCCATTGTGTAGAGGTTCCAGCCTGTACTCAGCTGGCTCCAAGGCAGGGCCGTGTGGCAGAAGAAACAGCTCACAGAGACTGACAGAAGGGACAAAGCAACCAGGGACCTTAACAGCGTCTTCTTGCCCCTTTTATCTTATCCAGGCTACTTAGGGTGGTCAGCACTCACACCCTTCATCCTAGCGCCCTAGAGTGTAGCACGGCACACGAATCAATCACACGCTCTAGATCGAGCCATCTCTGAAAAGCCCCACCTCAGAGGGCGGGAGTCTTGGGAGACATCTAGACACAGCCTAACACTTGGTAACCAACTGACATTTCAACAATGCTACATCATTGCAACAGCTCTAATTGTTAAACATTGTAAGCTATTGCATTACAGATTGTGCTGATACTTTGTATTTCTAACACATCTTTTATTTAAGTAATATTACCTGTCTTTACTGAGGAAGGTGGAGGAAAATAAAATGTCCATTGGGCTTCCCTTTAAGCAATTAATCAAACTCATGTCCTGCCTAAATAAAACAGTTAAGAGAAGCAGCGTACAATGTCCCCTAACAGACACTCCCAGGGGCACCCCACATTCCCAGTGTTAGCCCTTCTGGCTTGGCCGTCTCTGGGCAGCTTCTTGGTCTCTAAACAAGTGATTAAGTGTGCTAAAGATATCTGGTTTTAAAAAATACTTTGGTAAAAACTACCCCATTTGTCCACTTGTAGCATGCTCATTCTTTCATATTTGAGTAAGTTATTGTTTCTTTTTTTAAGAAATCTCTACTTCCTGTGGCTAATTTTGATGGTTTCTGTTCTCACTATAAAATCAAGGACAATTTTTAACCTTTTATGAAAGTTGCTACTTCCCTAGAGCAAGGCATAGTTCACAAAGGGATAAAATTGTTCTTAGGAAAGATACGCTTGATGATATTTCATGTGAAGCATGGGCCTTGTTTCAGTATTTTTAAATTATTTCAAGAACAATTTATAAAGAGAGGAAGTCCTGTCTTTCACGTGACAATCTTCTAATTTAAATGGTTTATTCCACCCCTACATGTTCATATATGGCTCAGTTGATTCTGGTAGTTACAACAAAATACCTTACACTGGCAGCTCATAAACAACAGGCATTCATTTCTCGTAGTCCTTGAGAGTAGCAGGCCCAAGACCGAGGCACTGGCAAACCCTAACCGGCCCTCTTGTCACTGTAATATCCCGTGACAGAAGGGACAAGGGGGGGGGGGCGCGCCTCCTTTTTTTTTGGTACCAGGGATCGAACTCGGGACCTTGTGCTTGCAAGGCAGGCAGCGGAACCACCGAGCTAAATCCCCGGCCCTTGAGGGGCTGTCTTATAAGACACTAATCCCAATCATGAGATCCCTGCCCTTTCGAATTAATCACCTCCCAAAGTCACTGCCTCCTAGAACCATCGCCTTGGGGATTAGGACTTTCAGGTACAAATTCAGGGGAACATGAAGATTCGGGTGGTAGCAATACATTAAAACACCTGTGAAGCGCTCTGCCCCACTCCAAAGTGATCTGCAAGAACAGCAGGGGGCGCTGCTACTATAGTTGCCCTTCCTTCCTGGGCTCTGTACCACATGAGGCCAGGCTGAACCAGGCTCCATGGACCTCGGGAGAGCCCGGCAGCCAGCACCCACTCTCCAGGCAACAGTGGTTCAGCCAGGGGGACAGAGCCCGCTCCTGTCAGGTAAGCAGGGCAGGACAGGGAGAGACAGAGGCTGTCGGTCGCTCATAGAATACCTAAGCTGGGATTTAGGGAGGGGAAAGTGAGCCAAAGGCAAAGGCAAGGCGGTGGTGCAGAGAGCGTTGTGACGCAGGCAGAGACAGGCTGGGAGCTCTCAGGGCCATGTGCTCTGTGGACAAGAAGGCACCGAAGGCAGCCTCCAGTGCTGAACGGCTGCGGGGCTGGTCGGGCCGGCCACAGCAGAGTGAGGACCATCCTGTCCCAACTCCAAGGCCGGTCCCAGCAGCACATCTCTGCCTCCCCAATGGACCATGTCTCTGCGGGGAAGGCTGGACAGACAGCCGCTGTCCTGCAGAGCTATAAGCACACAGGCACACATGGAGCCCCCAAGAGCCCCCAAACCTGGATGGGAATGGTACTGGGAAGCAGCATCCGTGCAGCCAATGCTGAAGATGATTCCAGGTCAGGCGAAAAAGCAAGGAGAGAGACAGGGAATGTCAAAGGAGGAAAAGCAGAGGCCGTAAAGCGAGCACGCGCACATGCACACACACACGGTGCAAAACTAAGTCCTAGGCAAAGCAATATGGCATTCCTAGCATGAGCCAGGGCGTGACAAATTTAAGAGGACCATGCCATCACTCCTTCACAACTAATTTTTTAGATAACCACTGTGTTTGTACCAGCACAGTGTTGGTAAAGTTATAGTCAAATTGGTAAACTCATAAATCCCTTGTAATGGCCTAAATTACCACAATCTCTGTTGTGTATCAATTTGGCAATAAGCAACAAAAGCTATAAAAATTGTCATAGTCTTTTCCCCAGTGATAGTCCTGGCAATTCGCCTTAAGGTAATTAATTAAAGCAGAACTGCATGTATAAACATATTTCCTGAAACATTTTTAATAGCAAAAAAAATAATAAATGGTATCTAGTGATAAACCAAATATCCAAAAACAGATTCACTAAATGAAATGAGATAGCACCCAGTGGAACCCTGTTAGAAATCATATTTACGTGGCAACACAAAAACTGTTTGTGATATGCTATCGTTCGTAATATTTATGAAAAACATCTCTGGATGAGCCACTACCAGCTAACCTATGTGCTATGACAAAGACCAAAGGAAATGGGGAAAACAGTCAACGCCTGAGAAACTGTAGAGCTGTACCTGGCACGTTTCGGCTTTTACCACTCTCTTCCCTAGTTGGTTGTTCGTCCGTTAAACACATTAGGGTTTGCTAGAACTACAGGTAAAGACAATGAAGGGAGAGGAGAGAGTCTCCACATAGCCGCCTTTAGCTATTAATGAAGCCTCCTTCCCCTGCCTCTTCCGGCCTTAGCAGGGCTTCCCTGTGGTCCTCCACCTCCGCCTAGCGACAGCTGGCCAGGGCATCCCCAAGGGACAGCTCTTAGGACCAAAGCCAGGGCCACGGACGCCAGCCCCGAGCCAGCGCTCTCGCACCCCTGGGCCCCACCGTGGCCGCAGACACCCCGTCTTCCCCCTCCGCCCTACCCCGCAGCTGAGATTTCCGGCCCGCACCAGCCGCGATGGCGATCGCACGCGCGAGGCAGGCAGGCGCAGGCGCGCCAAGAAGAACAGAGAGACTTGAAAGAGGCGCTGAGCGACTCCCTCCCGGGTGGAGCTCCCCACTCCAGCCTCTAGGAGCCTCTGAGCCCGCAGGCTGCACAGACTAATTAACAGCCCCGCTGAGTGAGCAGGAAGGAGGGGCTCAGAAGTTCAGGGGGCCCCGGGCGGGGACTGAGCGGTTTCAAGGTTGGAGACGGCGTCAGTCAGTCCGTGCACATTTTGGGGGAGGGACTAGAGAAGCTGAAACGGCTCCCGGCTATCTGAAGAGAATTCACAGCCACTCCTGCTGTATCGGTGTGAGGCACAGTGACAAGTATTAGCTGCACCCGGTTTTAGTTGAGCCCTGTATGTCCTCCTGTCTGTGGGGACTTCTCTTCAGAGCACCCCGAAGGCTGCGGCGACACCGTCCCCGGCGCCCACTGCAGTCCCCGTCGGAACCACTGGGGGCAGCAGAGGTTTAGTCACAGGGGGCTGTGCCCTCCTCACTGTAAGCGATTTACCTTCATCAGAGGCAGGGGGATCTCTTCTGTCACAAGGGTTATTCCAGGAATTTCCTGTGGAGGGAAAGCAAAACACAACAGCTCAGCACGTCAACCGCCACTCGTTCCGGCCTTCAGGAAGCGTTTTCTCTGTACACAGGAGCTGAAGACAGCTTCCAGCCGCTAACCTCGCCTTTAAATAAACTTGGAGTATATAAATAGCACAGCCTATCTCTTGCCTTGAGAAGGGAAATAGCCTTTAAATAATTGTTGACAGAGTCCGGAAAGGAACAGAGACGATTACGATGAAGAAATTCGGGGCGAACACTGTATTTTTTACACATTTTTGTTTAAGAACAAATGAGGCAAATTCCATTTGCACCATCTAATTGGGTAATGAACAGGCGATGTTCCCTTATCTGAATTTGCCCCTCTCTCTCTCCCTTACATGCAGCGTAGTCAGCCCATGCCTCATTAGACAGGGCCAGAGCTAATAGGGTCGTTATGTAACTTGAATGGAAACTTTTCTCAGCAAATCGTCCAGCAGGATTTCGGAGAGAAGAGCTCTCCGTAATGTCTCTGCAGCTCTCATGCCACAGCCAAGCCAAAATGCTGTGTGACCGGTGCGCATTCATACAGAAATTTCAAAGGCTCCACGTCAAAAATGTCCTGTACTCACTGTTACTTTGGAAACAGTGTCTCTATGCCAGCTATATAATTAGCTTTTCATCTGGTCAATTCAGACCTCTTCCCTCAAAAAAAGCAAACGCTGTATGAGAAAATAATTTAGGAAATGCTGTCTAAAAATAGGAATTGGGTTTTGTTTAGAGTTTAAATGACCTGGCTTTTGCTGACATAAAGGATCCAGGGGGAGGCATCACAGCAATAGAGAAAAAAATTCAGAACATTTGAGCAACTGAGCTTTCCATGTGACAGCAGAAAGCCTGTGATAAGAACCTGTGTGCTGCTCCCATCTGGCTCAAGGGCAGGGGACCCCACAAACAGCACTACAGCTGGAGGTTGGGAAGGCATTTCTAAAACAGATATAAGAGTGGCTTTTTAAAATAGCTATAACTGTTTCCAAAGCACAATTCAAGACTGTCTAGGCATGAGGGCGCCATATTTTCTAGAATCTTTTAAAAAATCCAAGTCAGCTGTTTCCCATTTGGAAGTGTGCACTGAATGTTTTTCCACTGTGGGAAGTTTTTAGATTAAGGTAGTAGCAATGATGGATTAGAGAAAAGTAAATGATTTACATCATTTCTAAAGAGAAGTATAAAGTCACAGAACTTCAGAATTAAAGAGGCCTTTTAGGTAACCTATTCCAACCGCAAGGAGTTTTAAAGTAACATGGTAAACCCCAAACTACACCTGGTAGGAGGAGATTAGACCTGTGGGTTTCTTGCATTGTTCTCCGTGTGGGACTTCCTGGTGTTGCTCCATGTGTGTGTTCACAGTGGCTCCTGTACCCCAGAGTCTTCAGAAAGGCAAACGTGAAGCCCCACCAGTGAGGATAATGCCCTCATCCAATGTCCACCTAGTGCATGCCATCACTCACGGGACCCTGGAGACAGTGGCCCCAGGCCTGTCCCCTGGACATTGAGCACAGGACAGCCAGGCAGTGGGTACTGAGGGGAGGGAGCTGAGGTGCTCATTTCCTGAGCCCAGAGGGTGAAACCTGCAGGCTTCCTGCCGCATAACCACAGAGTCTGCACTACATTCACCAGTGTGCTCTTAAAGAAGGGAGAGCTCAGGTCTCTCCTCTGTGACCCTACAGTGACTTTCATTATGGTAACTCTGCTGGGAGGAGACCAGGAAGGAGTCTCATGGAGACTCTGCTCAGACACACCAAAAATTGAGAAATTAATCGTGCTTCCTATGTCCTTTTAAAGGACTATATGTAGACACAGTCTAAATACAAAATAGTCAAATTTACCCTACTACATACGTGTCCTATGCCTGTGTTACCTAAATTAAATTTCTTGTACTAAATTCATTTTTGATACAACTTCTACCTCGAGACTAAGCCCGTACTTCCATGATCTGAATGGGAAAGAAGATGCAAAATCTTTTTCAGGCACAAGCTTTGCAGTTTCCCCTTGCTAGTCCAGCAAAGCTCAGTTTACCACACGGCATCCAAGAGAAAGACACAGTGTTTTAGCTCAGATCTTCCTAATTTAAGAGGAAAGAATTCAGAGGGACAGGAATAAGAGGTGAGATGGAGCAAGTTTGCCAAGATTGCTGACTTATTGATTTTGAAGTTCTTACTACACATTTTCTTTGAGGCAGAGAAAGGGGGTCATGAATGTCCTGATCTACCAAGTATGACTGCAGTGGTCTGGCTGGTTTTTTATTTATATAAAACTAATAAATACTTTAATTCACTCTAGTCAATAAAAAATAAAAATTAAAATCTTGTTTTATAAAAATCCCATAAAAGAGGTTTAGTTCTTCCTGGTAGGAAAAAGTTAAAAAATTCCTTTACCTTCTCCTTCAGTCCTTCTGCTTTATACCAATACTTCCGGCCAATAGCTAGTATACACAACTGGTTTAGTTTCTCCTCCAAAAAGTGTTTCAGATTCAGGATTTATTTTTCAGATTTTGGAATATTTTCACACACATGGTGAGATACCTTAGGGACAGGACCTAAATCTAAATATAAAATTCATCTGTTTCAGGTAGACCTTGCAGACATAGCCTGAAGGTGATTTTATACACTATCTTTAGTGCACCTTCCTCTTAAATTAGGAAGAGCTGAGCTAAAATGCTGTCCCTCTGCTCTTGAATGTGGTATGGTCAGATCAGGCATGGAATTTTCCACTTGGGGCACCATGTTGGTGCTCAAAAAGTTTCAGATTTTAGAACGTTCAGATTTCAGATTTTCAAATTAAGCATGCTCAATTTTACTAGAAAATTCCAGCTCAGTTCCTTATCAATCAAAACAGAAATAAAATTACAAGCTCTGTCCCTTGTCCCACAACTGGGGATCAGTTTTCACTGCATGCTGAATACAAACTGTGAACTCACTGAGTCCCAAGTGAGCACCGAAGAATACTGCAGAAGCATGTCCATGTTACTCGTCTCTGGATACACGCTCCAATATGAAGAAGCTGGGTAGATTTTGAAAGAGTAAAAAGATGCAATTTAATAAGAATAAAGAAACTGAGGGTATAATTCAAACAAATCAAGAAAACCAACAAAAGTTTTTATTGCTTTATTCTTAATCCTCAAGTGGCTAACCATTATGATTTTATCTCCTGACTAAAATGTTTAGGTTCTGCTTTTTACAATATGAATAATTTCAAAATTTTTTCCTTTGGTATTACATCTATCCAAATAATACTACTTCACTTTCTAGTGGTATTGCAGCCAGTCAACATAAAACTGGGCTAAGAAACTTACATTTTACTGGGAAAAAAACATCACATCAAGGTTATAAAATCAAAATCCTATCTTATTTCTCATCAGTCTCTGAAAGCCACAGTTTCTCACAAAACCACAAGAGAATGAAATTTAATTAGCTACTGACTGTGATAGGCTTTTTTGTTAAGCGTTCCTTAGAAGCATTTTGACAGTCCTGCTTTCCCTCAGCCAAAGGGGTCAAAGGTGCAGCCCACACTCACCAATTATAAATTCCTGAATGAGGTCAAATGAATGGCAGGTAGAGAAGTTCTCAGAAATCCACTGAATAATCTTTACAAAGTAAGACAACGGAACCGTTAGCATTTAAATCTACACTCCAGCCCCGCCACCAAAGAAGAACATAGATGCAGATAATATTAATTAATGTTTCAAATTCTGTATCTATTTTGGAATTGCCTAAGAACTCAAGATACATAAGGCAGTTGTAGGTGGATGAAATAGTGTTATAAATGAGATCCTTGTTACATGCCTTTTTAATAAATGCCCTTGAATGGAATCCAAATAAGACTTTCCCAATGCAATGTATGTTTTTGCCAGAATGGACCATGTTATACAAAGCAGTGGGGACAGATGTGGACACAGGAACAAATAAAGTGAAACAAAACTAAAAGGAATTAGTGGCAGCAACCTGTGTTTGAACTCTAGCTTGGTCACCGGTGTGAACACCGTTTACCCTCTGGAGCATCACTGCAATCCCCTTTCAAGGGACGTAATCAGCTCTTCTCATCTCCACGACTACCCTCACCCACTGGACGGGGGAAGCTTCTTGCTTCCCACCTGCAATGTGACAGACAGGTAAGGCTGCCCAGCCACAGTACACGCTCTCACATCTCTGCTCCCACCAATAAGCAGTTTTATTCAACCTATTTATGCCAGTCTTATTCATTTTCACAACCAGATAATTCCATAAAATTTATTACAAACAAGTGAAGTATAGATCCAAAAAGAATGTTATTGAGTCAATAAAAGTTGAATGCTTGGGGCCAGGGATTTAGCTCAGTGGTGCTGCTGCCTGCCTCGTAAGAGCAAGGTCCTGAGTTCAATCCCTGGTACCAAAAAAAAAAAAAAAGTTGAATGCTTTGGAAAGACTCAAAGGCATGTGTTACAGTTTAAATCTAAAAGGTCCCCCAAAAATCTCATGTGTTCAAGTTTGGGGCTTTTGGAAGGCAACTGGATAATGAGGGCACTAACCCCATCAGTGGATTAATCCATGAGAGGTTCATAAGTTGAATGGGCTTTAAGAAGTGAGGCCCAATTGGAGGAAGTACCCTTGGAAGGGTACATCTTTTCTGCAGCTCTTTCCCTTTCTCTACTACCTGGATGAGTGAGGTTAGCAGCTTTCTCTGCCATGCCTTTCTGTCATGATGATTCTGCCTTGGAGCTGGCAAACCATGGACTGAAACCTCTGAAACCATGAGCCAAAAAATCTTTCCTCCTTTAAGCTGTTTTTCTCAGGTATATGATCACAGCAACAAAAAGCTGACTAAGACAATGTCTCTAAAATACTAAAAAGCTAATAACACTTTGGGGTTTTAAATGTCTGATACACAAAAATTGCCCTGGAAAGGTCTTAAATTATTGATCTCCCTAGAGTTGAAAATTTTCAGAAAGTAACAGGAAGATATAAGACACTACTAGTGGTTTATGCAAGAAAAATGTCTTTGAACTCCAATCAAAATACAAAAGATGGGAAAATAAATGTATATTGTTGAGGTTAAAATAAAATATCTCATCTCTTTTTCAATTAATCACCCAACCATTGGTCACAACCAAGTCTGATAAGATTTTTCTGATTTCACAGGATGGCTGTAAAAACTAATTGATAGAGAACATGTGAAAAGTGCTTCATAAACTATAATGCATATTACAAATATATACTACCTTTATTAAAAATGTAATAAACATTGCCACAAGACTTTAGTCCTTTTAATAATATATTTATACCAACTGTAGAACAGGAGAAAAAGTAAATTATTTGAGAAACTCATTATTTACTGAGCCCTTTCCTGGAACATTAATGGCTCAATTAAATATTTATTCACAATATGGAAGAGATGCCTGAAATCACAGACAGCAACTTAGCAACATGAACATGCAGTTCTTTCTTCTCTCTTTACATCAAGATTTTCATCCTCTCATTCAAATGAAACACTTTAGGGTTTCTCTGAATTGCCAGCATAGCCATTCTTATACTTGGAGGTCATTAAGTAAAATAAGGGTATGTGAGCACACAAATACCATGAGACTACAGCATTGACCTGGTAACCAAGACAGCTCCTGAGTGCCTCTTGGGCAGGTATTGTGTGAAGCTTGGCTGAGCTAGACAAAGGGATGATTCAGGATGGAGCAGGGTGGAGCAGGGTGGCAGGGATTTGATCACACTGCCTGGAATGGTGTGCGATTTAAAACTTATGAATTATTTCTGGAATTTTCCATCTACTATTTTCAGATCAAAGTCAATCTGGAGTAACTGAAATTGCGGCAAACAAAACCATGGATGGAGGGGTGAGTACTGTACTCACATCACAGTCTGCAGGCCGGGAGAGTCCCGAACAAAGAAGCATGGAAGAAAAATATGTTCTAAGGCCGGGGATTTAGCTCAGTGGTTTCACCACTGCTGTACAAGCACAAGGACCCAAGTTTGATCCCCAGTACCAAAAAAAAAAAAAAAAGAGGCCATCGTCCTCATCTATTTGGTACCAAATAAAAATAACTTTCGATCCTTCCATCAGTGCATAAATCCCCTGGGTGCTGCCCACTTGCCAAGGTCTGGGTGCACACATGTCCTCACCTGGGCCTCCAGGGGCTGCAACTCCCGGCCACAGGCCAGCAGGCAGTGCAGTGTGGCCATCCTATCGCAGTCCAGCTGGGCGGCCCCCAGGAACTGCAGCAAGCGGGGCGGGTTGAGGGTCGCTCTGTAGAGCTTCCCCAAGCCCCAGTCCAGGACTAGGGACCCTGACAGGGGCCGCAAAGCACTCTGGGGTAGCACATCAGCCATTGAGTTGTTTCCTGGCCCAAAAAAAAAGGCAGATCAGCAAATAAAGGAATCTTCCCCTCTCTGGACCAAACACAGATATTAAAGTCAAACAAACCCAAATAGCCATACCCATGAGAGAAAAGCCACTTCCATACCTGTCAGAAACAGACTGTGGCAGATTAAGTCTGGATGCTGAATGTTAAGTAGATGAAAGAAATGACCAGGTAAGTAAACAGCCACGTAATAGTCTGCAGAAGAGAAAGAGCTAAGTCATCTACATGTGGTAAAAGTCAACCCCGGGGATTTAGCTCAGTGGTTCCGCCACCTGCCTCGCAAGGACAAGGTCCCAAGTTTGATCCTCGGTACAAAAAAAAAGTCAACCAGGTTTACACAAAACCCAGGACTACACATCATCTTTATTCTTCCTTGAATCTCTCAAAATACAAATATTTTCACCACTTTGAGGACGAGCCATGTGATACCAGCAAGTCTCATCTTGGTAGCCAGCATCTATATATTTCTATGGGTGGCTAATTTTCCTCAGACATTTAGCCACTTAGTTTATAGCTGTAATTTTGTTTCTAAGTCAATCATGTGGATCTAAATGGTCTCTGAGAGGCTATTAGAATAAAAATATCAAACAACATGAATTATTTCTTAATCTGATAGGTTAGGAATAGCTTATAATGGAAATTTTCTTCAAGGTTTCTACCAGTTTGGGGAAATTCTAAAATTTAGTTTCCCATATTTATCCACTCCTCATAGTCACTATCTTTATGTTTAGAGAAATTTTAAATTGATATTCATCGAGACAGTATCCACAGGCATCCTGACATTTTGTGAAAGACTAATTTATTTCCTTGCATACCTAGCTGCTTAGAATTCACACTTTCAAGTCCCCATGCTAGAGATTTGGAGACCAGCAACATTTCCACCCAGATTGAGACAGGGTATAAAAATAGGTTTCTTGACAACGAGAGGGTAGAAGTAACCCTGGCCAATAATTTTTCTAGATTTTCAGAAAACCAGAAAATTCCACGTTAGTAGTGAATTTCATAGGGAAGAAATATTTGGATTTTAAGTGAACCAGCTAGATTGCTGTTTCCTCTAAGAGCAAAGAAACGCGCTAATCATTGACATAAAAGGGATTCTATGGCAAGAGAAAGAAAGAGGAGATAATACTTTAACCAACTGGCTTGTGTGTCTTTTCAGTCCACATGAACTAAAGTGATGGTAAAGTGCTTAACACAAATGATTGTAATCATCTCATTATCACCGCAGCTTTGACAGGAAGACTCAAGGTCTGATCCAGTGGGCATAGTGGGAAAGGTGTGACCAGGTGATCTCAGGATAACCACAACCACTTAACCAGTTATTCAGGGTTGTCCTATGTCACCGGGACAAGGGCATTTGAGGAGACATGAGGGTGTACTGGGTTGTCATATTCATTGTGATCAGGTGAGGGTCTCCTCCTGAGCTTGCTGTGTGGCCTCTAAGGATCTGCAAAAAAACCCATAGTGACTCAGTAAGATACAAGTGTTCACGGGCTAAGCTGTGTGTGGTGCCGCTTGGCTCTGGAGCATCGAGGCATGAGGACAGCAAATTCTAGCTCAGCCCTGGCCAACTCTGCAAGACCCTGTCTCAAAGCAAAAAGAGCTGGAGATGTAGCTCAGGGTGAAAGCCCTGAATCCCACCCACAGTACCCCCTAAAACACAGACAAAGCCAAACAAAAAATTCATGTGCTAAGCTCCAGAGCCTGTGGACGCGCTAAGCTGTGTAACAGAAGGGACCTGGTAGGTGCGCTCAGGATCTTGAGACAGGGAGAGCATCCTGGGTCATCCAGGTGGACCCAAAGGAACCACAGAACTCCCTGTGAGAGGGAGGCTGGGGGGACTGGACTACAGAAGAGACGCAGATGCAGTGGCCACAGCAGGTGAGCCAAGCAAAACCAGCCTTGAGATGGAGGGGGAGGCGAAGGACAACCTCTTCCCCAGATCTCCAGAGGAAGCAGTCCTGCCCACACTCTGATTTCAGCTCAGCACTCCATCTAGACTTCTGACCTCCAGAGCTGCGACAGAATGCATTGTTTAAAGCCCTGAGTGTGCGGTAATCGGTAAGAACAACAGGGAAAAGCTGATCCAGACTGAAAGACACCTAGGCGCACACCCCGCCCTGTCTAAGCCTCAGTTTGATGACCTGTAAAGTGGGGATACCATCACCAAGCAGAATTGTCATAAAGATCAAAGTAACTCAGGTAAATTATTTAGCTTATAGAACTTGTCATTTTATTTTTATAAGCATATCTTTTATCTAGGTGGATTTGGGATTTGTGGAAAAAAATTTAAACTCTATTCTCTAATATTTCAATCAATATAAGTTCATTTTAACAGGGTAACAACCGAAGGAAATTTGAAGCAATTAATGGCAAAACATACATTTCCCCAAAAGTAATACTGCTGTCACAAAAATTCCCTCTAGATCAGTTTAGATCTTGGGCACAATCCTGTGCCTATAAAGTAAAATGTGCCTCAGAAGGCAAGGCGATGTGTGTGAGCCAGCCTTGTCTACCAGCTCTATTATTTCTGTCCCTCCTCGCTCAAGACCAAGCTGAAATCCTGCCTGCCCTTTTCAAGTCATTCCCAGGGGGACAAAAAGGAAGATACCTTTGCCCTTGCAAAATGTTCAGTTTTTGTAGTGGAAAATTTCCCACATCACTGTTGAGATGGGCTCCTGATAAAAACCAAGTCCCAGACCCAAGGAACTTTCTATCTCTCCCTTTATCACAGGAAGCCACAGAGCCAGGCCTCTCTCCGGCCGTTTCCCATAGGCTCTGAGCTCATGGTGAAATTTGCCAAGTCTGGCCCAGTCAACATAAAACACCAACCTTATCAAATAGCACCATTCAAAGCAAAATTCTCTATACCCACTTATGATATGGGGTCTCATGTGTCTTGGTTCCCTTCCATCATACTTTCCTAAACCTGCAGCATGATAGCAGGGGGCCAGGGAGCAGGGTTGGGGAAGGATATCAAGAATCAGGAGCTCTACACCAAAACTTCCCTGTCAACATTGCGCCCCATCCCACGTGTGAGCAGGTAACCGTTCTATTACTTAGTTCTCTACTAAACTCTGCGCCTCACGTCCTAATCAGCCTAGAAAAGCAGCTTTCAGTACGGAGAGACAATGAACCCCTTCTTTACTTTCCCTTTTACAGCCTAAAACCCATGTTCCCATCACCATATTTACTCAATGAAAACAATTCACTCAAGCTGGTCCATAAATCATTAATGGGACTCACAAGCTTTTCGTGACTGGCAAGCGGGGATGCACAATTTCCCAAGGCCCTGTCCCTCCAGAATTAAACCTCGACACAGTGTACTGTTTCTCACAGGCTGGTCAGGGACATCTTCACAGTCATCATTTTATAATAACCAACGGCTTCTTCTGAAAACTACCAGAAAGATAAGCAGGCTCACAGCCTCACTTCCCTGGAGAGGGAATTCACACCCCTGCCCCACCAGCTAACGGAGTTAGGCAGGAGCGGAGAGTTCCCGAGAACACCTTCTCCCTCCACAGGGCTTCACAAGGCGCGGTGGTTGTCATCCCAAGCCATATCTCAAAGGAAACAAGGTGCACAGGGAAGAAAACAGGACAGCAGGCGCTGAGACAGCCTTATGTGAAGGGAGCTGGGCAGGAGGCTTCGCACACCCACCGAGGTTGAGGAAAGTGATGTCCTTTGTCACATGTGAGCCACCACTCCCGGGAGCAGCGGTGAAGGTCTTTCTGTACCCTGCAGGGGGAGAACAGGAAGCCAGAGCAAGGATATTATAAATCACAGAGCTGGAACCGTTCCCAAGCCAGAGACTCTAGGCCGCGCGCTCTTAGCTTTGCGTAACGCAAACTGACACAGCGTCTCCTGGCTTACAGGCCCTGCGAGGGCCTCGCTCTCCGAAGGCCAGCCCTGTGGGTGGACGGTCTGTGTGCAGCCACCGTCTAGTAGCTGTTTGGGCTCAGGTGTAGCTTGAGGCCACAAGAGGGGGTTGTTCAGGGAGGGAAGGCTCCACAGGAACCTTCTTGCTGGCCTAAGAGACAAAGGCGATCAAACCGCCCACAACCACACGTGCGTGCCACACGTGCGTGGTCCCTAAGCCCCAGGACGTACTGGCTTTTGCCCTTTATGTAACTATCTCCAGAAAAGTTTTATTTACTGGTCTTCACCATTACATTAAGCATTTGAAAAATGTGTGAGAACGTCCTACAAAATCCTACACGACTTAAGCATGCATACGCGTCCAGCGCTCGCGTTACTTTTAGGTTCTCCGTGATTACATTTTTAAACCCTTCTACCTTGATCTTTAACACCAAGCTAATATTAGAATAACAAACCCTGTGAGGTGTAGAATAAAAATTTATAAATATTGGGAAAAAATCAATCTTTAAAAATTTTAAGCACATCCATACTATAACTAAACAGATACTAATGTTGAGGAAATAAAACTAAATAAATACTCCTTAGCACCTTTCAGGCTAAAACTATTAAAAGGCCTCCTGTGAGCAACTATAGGAACAGGTTGTTACCATATCAATATCTTGGACCAGAGAGGTGTGAAATGAATAAACACATTTTAGGATCCTGTTTATATCTGGGACCATGAAAACTTTTAACTAAAACCCTTTGAAATGGTCTGCATTAAAGTTACAAATATTTTCCAATTAGTAGAAATGAAAAGGCAAACAAACACACTCTAGACAAATATATCACAGGCCAAGAAAAAATACAGGCCAGAATAAAAACTCATGGTACATAATATTTAGCTAACTTGATGCTTACCATTAGTTAATTTCTTCAGGAAACATAAATTAAGTAGGTATAGAACTAGGGATTAAAAACTGCAAGTAAAAGGATTTCTAAAGCATCTTATTTTCTACTACATATTGAGAAAAGGCTATTATGCAAAAGTAAAACAAAGAAAAGTACCTTCGTGAAAATAAAACACTGAATATGTGATTTGTTCCCAAGAGTCAAACTTCTGGCTGTAACATGCACACAAGCTTCCTAGAAGTAAGAACATATTTAATAGAATTTAAAAGAATCTGTGTCACAGATAAAGTTTCCTATGCCATTTAATCTTTTTTTTTTTTTTGGTACCCAAGATCGAACTCAGGTCCTTCCACTTGCACAGCAAGCAGCGAAACCACTGAGCTAAATCCCCAGCCCAATGATGCTTAGTCTTAATTCTACTCTTTTAGCTGTCCTGCCCCATCTTGCCTCAAAGGTTATTTCCTAAATTCTAGAGAGGGTCTACTAACAAGTTGCTAAGAATTTTCAACCAACAACTATTTAACTTCAACAATTAGCAGTGTATTGTGGCAGGCTACTGAAGGATGGGAACATGAGTGACACGCCCCTACATAGGAGATCATATTTGCATAGCCTTTTCTTAAACTCCAAAATTCTAAATGTTCCAAAATCTCAAACTTCGTAAGGGTCACGCTGGTGCTCAAAAAGTTTTGAATTGTGTAGCATTTTTTATTTCTGATTAGAGATGCTCTCAATCTGTATTTTTATCCCAATGCCAACATTTATGTGATTAACTGAAATTGGACATGGCTGGATAGAAAGGAATGTGACAAAAAACATCAGGAAACTGAGGTTAGAGTCCCAGAGCTAATATTAAATAGATGGAGCCAATCACCACTCTACTGAGGCAGATTTTTGTATTTCCTCTATTATACTCTACTAGTTTCTCTGTCAGAGTCACAGTAGAAAAAGTCCCATTTTTCTTTAAGAAGGCTATTCAAGGACATTAGTAAACATTATGCTATTATATTTATCATTTGTGACTACATTAATGACATTTAAAACTGAAATTATTGTTAGAAGTACATTTTATTGCAATAGCTTGAAAACAAAACAGAAAATAATAAGTATCAAATAAAAATTGTAACAATTATGGCAAAATTATAGTTACTAGGCACACAATGATAATTTTTCTTTAAAATTACAATAGGCTTATTTAGAATAAAAGTAACCATTCCTAAAGCATAAACAAAATAATAATTATAGAAGCTAAGAAATTCCCATGTACCACTTTGACTACTTTCATATGGTAAATATCAGGGGGGGGAAAGGCCTCCGGTTTAATTTTTGTTGTTGTGGTTGCTGCTGTTCTTGGTTTTTTGAGACAGAGTCTCACCATGGCCCAGGCTGCCGGGAACTCACAGTGACCCCCCCAAGTGCTAGGATATAGACGTGTGCCACCACGCCCTAGTCTTACCCTCTTTTTTATGTTCTAGGATCACAAAGAGAAAGAAACTGCTAGCAAACATAGGCTAAAAAATAAAAAAGTGTCTTTAGTAATAAAGAAATACTAAAGCAAGGTACCATATTTTTCCTTTCAGGTTACCAGAATATTTTTCTTTGTATATGTTTACAATACATAATATCTATGTATTAGGGAATTGGTATATAGTCATATATGTAGCCTATCTTGATTATTTTTGATGCTTTCCTCCACTTCCTAACCTCCTAACTCCTCTGATCCCCTTGACAGTAGGTATATTTATCAATTTGTCTCTTAATGGACATCTAAGCTGTTTTCAGAGCTTAGCTATTGTGAACTGCACGCTATAAACATGGGTATGCATGTACCACTGTAATACGATGTCTTTAACTCGTGTTACTTAGATACCTTCTAGATACCTAGGAGAGGAACAGCTAGGTTGAACAGTTTCTAGTTTGGGATCTGGAGGACTCTCCGCACTGTTTCCATAGTTGCTGTACTAGTTCACATTCCCACCAACCACACTCAAGGGCTCCTCTTTCCTGAGCCTCACCAGCATGGGCAACCACAGTTAAGAACCACTTTCTAAAAATCAGCGGATCTGGACATGACCCTTGGCTTGTGGCTTACTAAGTATATTGCCTCAAGAAAGTTCATTTAATTCTCTAAGCCTCAGTTTCCTCACTTGTAAGAAAACATAGAACTGATGGCAAGGTTCTTGCATGAGAATTACATGAGACAATGTGCATATGACTCTTGTGAAGTAGTCAAAACTGGACATAAAGGGTATTATGCTATTATTCCAGAATAATTTTGCTGTACTTATAAATTGGAGGAAGTCAGAGTTTGAACAAACAAAGCAAAGCATGTCCTTAATGGTATATACAGAGACTTTTAATAAATATTCATTGATGTTAAAGATAACATCTCACCACTGACCAGACTTCAGGAAACCATTTAGATAGTAAAAACTATTACAAAGTTTTCCAAGGGAAATTATTTCACTGGGACAATTCTTACTTACAAGGCCCTAAAAAATGCTAACACACTGGCCTGATTGTGAGAGCTTGTGAAGAGTGGATCTTGCCATGGCAGGAGCCGAAAGGACAAGGAACACAGTTCCTCGCAGTAGGTACGGCACTGCACAGGACCTGCAGCTGCGGACTGCAGGGTAACAAGAATGTGGAACCCTTGTTACAGCCGCGAGCACCAGGTCTGTACAGGACTCTGAGTTGGCTGAGTTCTTTCCTTGAGCCATGCCTCCTGGCCTCCACACCCCGGAAACCTAAGCTCTCCATCTAGCAGGAGCTGTATTTACGTTTAACAGTTTCCTTCTCCAATCCTACTCTGCTGGAGTAGATCTTGCTTGTGTTAACCACAGGAGCAAAAATAATTTTTTAATAACCCGGGAAATACATAAACAATCTCTCTGTCAAAACCCAGAAGATTGTTTCTCCAGCTTGTTTCATTTTAAATCTGGAAATATTGCATTTGAAAGAGGCTTATTTTTTCTGTTTCGAGGCTTATTGTGAAGAGAAAGGCTCATTTCTATTCTCCCAGACATTGCCGAGAAAGGAAAAAGAAAATGGATTCTTTCACATCTCATGCCAGATAGACCTAACATTGCATTAAATATGTCATAAGCACCTCATTTTAAAGTTACACCTTCCACTGTTCATGAGAAATTCCTGTTGGAATAAAATGAAAGGGAATAAAAAGCTACACAGAATTGAGACCTAAAAATGATCGTTTATATCCAACAGATTTAAATCGAAGTAGCAGGGCAGAACCTACTCTGGTCCCTATCTGATCTTAGTTTACCCCACCTTTGAAGCAGAGTCCCACCAACGGTGACTCCTCTCTGCTGCACCTTATCTTCTTTTCTGTCTATACAAACCACATCCTATAAATGCTCGAACCCCCGGGAGTCTCTACCGTCTTAATAAATAATATTCCCGAATTCCATCTCCACCTTGGGCTGCTACATCTACAATGCTGCTACATCTTCGGCTCCACCTGCTCAGCGGAGGCAGCCGTAACTGGGCCTGGGCCACCCAGCCTGGGGCGCCACCGGCCCGTCTCCCCTCCTCTGTGGGACTCCCCTCCGCCCTCAGCTCCTGGGCCTCCACACTTGTCCCCCCCGCCCCCTGCCTTCCCACGACCTCAAACGCCAATTCTAACAAATGCCCACCTTCTCCTCCCGGGTCCCGGCCCCTCCCACGCCTCTGCAGCTCACTGAAGCACAGCCGTTCACCCCGTGCTGCTGCCAAAAGCCCGAGAGCAGCTCCTCTCCGCCTGCTTTCCAGCAAGGCCTCGGCGTGGCCTCCAAACCGTGTTCCAGAGCCGCCGTCTCTGTCCCTCCACTGCCCGCCACGGTGGAAGCCCCACCATCTCGGCCAACCGCTGCGGTCCCCACTTTTCCCCTCCACCCAGCTCCTCGCCCCATAGCCAGCGAGCTCTCAAGAATGCACATGTAGTTGCGTCTCCGCCTGCTCACACTGCGGGGAGGAACATCCAGGGATCCTAAAAAGGCCAGGGGAGAGGCTCCAGGGGGCACGGTGGTCTCCTGTGCCAAAGCATCACCCCGCAGTTGCTAATCCAGAGGTTAAAATGTCCTTTGCAAGGGAGACCCTCAGGGGTTACCGCTTGACCAGGTGACCAAACCTGGCTTCACTGAGAGTCGCGTGCACTGCATCAGATGCTGCCTGCTCGGATGAAACGCGGTTCACGACCCCCCCCGCCCCCGCCCCCCCCCCGCAGAGGTAGCGAACCCCTGGCACGCGTGCCGCAGCAGGCTGTTCTCATTGAAAGCTCTAAAGGGTTCGCCATCCCTGTGCTGGAACTCGTCTCACCAAAACACTGATCTGTGTCTACTACGCCTTCAGGCCTGACTTCCATTTTACCGGAAATACAGAGGACAGAGGGAAACGTTAGTCTCCGCACAGAAACAATTCGACAAATCCATTCCTTAAGACAAAAAGGACTCTTCAGCCTAACAAAGTTGTGACACAGGGATGGGGCTGGGGGCAGAGAACACAAACACTTAACCAAACGTAATGCATGAATCTTGATGGGATTCTGACTCTTATATACAGACATATTTTATTTATATATACAAGTATACACGTACATGCAAATAGACTAACATAGACCCAGGCATTTTTCAACAGTTAAGGAAGTCTGAGTAGGAAAATGTGTTGACTAGTGCAGTTAGTTTCCCTCCGTGAGAATGGAACAGAGGTTATAGAAAACCATATGCTTTAGGAGACACCTGCCAAATTATTTAGTAGCAGAGAGTTATGATGTCTGCAGCACCCACATGGAGACAGGGTCTCACTGAGCTGCCCACGCTGGCCTTGAAATTCCAATCCTCCTGCCTCAGCCTCCCGAGTGGCTGGGATTACAGGTGTGCACCACCACACCCAGACATGATTCACTTTTAAGCTGTTTAGTTAAAAAGAAGGTGGTGACTATATATGGAGAGAATGATAAAATACTATAAATGATATGATTAGGTAAAAATCATATGGACATTCATTTTACTCTGGGACTCTGGGATTCTTCAGTATTCTCAAACCTGAACTGTGATAAGAAAAGAAAAAGCCTGTGTAGTGGTTCACACCTGTAATCCCAGCACTCTGGGGGGCTGAGGCAGGAGGGTCTCAAGTTGGAGCCCAGCCTGGGCATCTTAGTGACTTAGAGAGACCCTGTCTCAAAATTTAAAAACAGAACAAGGGCTGAGGATGTAGCTCAGGGCAAAGGTTTTGGGTTCCATCCCCAGCACAAAAACTCTGTCAATGATTTCTCTCAACTCAGGATCTTAGGATAAAACCCTGCATGGTCTGGCCCCGCCTCCTCCCAGCTGTCTCTCTCAGTGCTGTGCCCTCGCTCCATCATACTGCTGAGTCCATACATGCCCCCAACTCCCTGTCACCTTCTTCTTTCATCTCCCCGTAGCTTGTGAGGCCGGACAGGAAGAAATGGGCTTGGTTATGAAGGAGTCTAGTGAGATAAAGGCAACTGCAGGACGGAGATGGAGTGGGATGGGCCGGGCCAACTGGAGGGCGGGAGGGCAGAGGTGGACTGGGTAACTCAGGGGACATCTGCGAGTGCCAGTGTCTCCTATCAAGCCTGCATCCTGTGCTGCTGCATCCTATGATTCCCATTCGTCATATGCATCAGGATTCTATTTCAGTGCTACTGTGCACTTAGGTAAGGTCTAAAATCCACATCAAACGGTAGCCTCGGCTCTAATAAAGATTGGGTCAGTTTTGCCCACCACTGCATCTCCCAACCTAGCGCACACTAAGTGCTCAGTAATTGTCGGTTTAATGTATAATGCCACAACCATTTGGCTTTAAAGGGACATGATTTTTTAATTTTGATTTTTGATTTATGTAATTGTACATATTCATAAAACGGGTACAATCTTAACCCAAGTACTACTCAAGTAGTAAATGTCTGCTCACATTGGAATATTAAAAATGGCTATTAGACTTCATTTGTAGAGTTGATTAGTTAGATGATTATTGAGGTAAGGATTGAATTATTTAATTCAATAATATTCCTCTCCCCTCATTTTCAGCTATTCTTTCCTCCCTCTCCATTTTCTCTTTCTACAATAACCAGGTGTGATGGGATAGAATGCTGTTATCAATAACTTTATATCAAGTTCTGACAGGAAGTTACACCATGGCTGTTAAGCCAAGCACATGGGTTTAGAACCGAAATGCAGCAGTAAGCCGGACACGGAAAGTAGCTCCAGCCCCATGTGTCCTCTGTGAAAGATGGAGCAGTGAGAACATTTGCAAGTCCAGCAGCTCTATTAAAACAATACAAATACCAACTATTAGAATGATAATCCCGTGACTTCTTTCACACAGACAGAATACATGTGCATAAAATTATAGTGGAGAGGCTAAGGGTGTCGCCCAGGGGTGGTGTGCGTGCTTGACATGTGCAAGGCCCGGGGTTCAATTCCCAGCACCGCAGACTAAAAACCCAAGAAAATGATAGTGGAGAAGATAACTGAGTATATTATACATGCATATATGTGCATGGGTGCATGTCTATATCCACTTGATTACTGTGTAATAAGGTGGCTGTTGGATATCATTCTTGGGGTGCGTATAGCTCAACAATAACTAAATTTTATATAGACCTCAAGTATATCTGAGCAAATTAATAAATACAACCCTGGTTCTACCTGTATGGTTGGTAAAAACATACAGAGTCAGGTGTTTGGACAATTTCTCTTGCTCCTCATGATAACCACATCCAAAGTTGACAAGTCTAGGAACACAAAGGAAAAGAAATTATTGGATCATTTATAAATACATTCCCTCCCACGTGAAGTAAGGAGCCCCTGTCACCCACAGAAGTAGGGACTGGGTCTTGAGAAATGCAAGTACTATAATTTTTTTAAAAATACATGGTGCATAAATGGTGTGGGCCAGGCAATAGAGAAGAAAAATCTATGACAACTTACATTTGGGTTTTTTTGGGGGGGGGGTTGGTACCGGGGATTGAACTCAGGACCTTGCGCTTACAAGGCAGGCGGCGGAACCACTGAGCTAAATCCCCAGCCCACAACTTACATTTTTGTAACTTTCTGTGATTAAATATACTGACACTTATACCATCCTTCAAAAATAAGCACAACTAACTATATTTGATGAAATAAAGCTAGTGAAATATATAGCCATCTTCTAACTCAGATTTTCATTTCTTCTGTGCTTTGATGGTCTTATTGTTATTTTCTAAACATGTTTTACCTTTTTACTACATACAAAGTACTCTAGAAAAAGCAAGAAAGCTTGCCTTTCATGTAAAAAGAAAAACACAGAAAAGAAACCAAAGCAATATACTCAGCTAAACTACAAGTGGATACCGGTTACATCTTCTTAAGGGAATGAGAAAAGGGTTTTGATGTTGGGTCCTAACTGCCACTCTCTCTCACTGAAACTTTTTATTTAATCATGGGAAGAAGAACACTTCCATACATCAAAATAAATAAATGGAAATCAATGGCTAAGAAAATCAACACAGCTAGTGTTACATATAAAATCCTACGTTAGTGCTTGATAAGTTGTTTATATCCCCAACAGAGAAAAAATATGAAAAAGACACACACAGAATATCAAACTGTCCTTTTACCTGCACATCATGAATTAGGAATAAAGGTAATTATTTTATGTCTATAAAAATCAATAGAAATCTATGAATAACTTACTTAAATTCAGAGCCACTTAGTGGTATGTCCAATGGTGTTTCAAACTGCCAAAAAAATCAGGAGAAAATGAACTCAAAAAATGGCATTCGGTAAGTGGTGACAGTTGGGACACTCGGGCAAGCCTGGCAGCCTTCGGGTGCCCGACGGTGAGGGACCTGTTTGACCATCATTAGCACGAGAGGTGACCCACATCCTGGGCCCAGAAGTCACTAGAACACTCTGGAGTGCACATGTGACCCATCACAGGGTTATTTGTTGCAGGGCGAATGCTCTGCAAACGTTCCCTTAGATGCAACCATCACAGATGGGTTGTGTCATAGGACAACTGACCCAGGGGTCTCTTAGGAGACGCAAGGACCACCTCAGTAAGGAAGACCCGGGTGTCTTTAGAAGGAGAGTGAGTGGACCCTTAGAAGGCAGGGGCAGCAAGGAATCTTGTGACATTATCAACTCTCTGTCCTGTATGCCAGCGTTAGCCTTCAGCAAGGAGTAGTGCCACAGATAAAGACGTGGACCTCAGCGCTGGCTAATGCTCAGAGTCCTTCTAGGAGTGATGACACATTTCCATCCACTAATTGGCTTTTTCCCTTATCCTCAAATCCACTAGACTCACAAATCCTTTTGGGTCAAATGCATCGCAGCCACTTAAAGCTATCTACCGCAGACCACATCTTCTACCTTCTACCTTCTGGTGAGCCCTACTCCTGATGCTTATCTCTTCCATGGGCAACACATGGTGGAGATTTCCTGTGTGTGCTTCTCATCCCCTGTATAACTGAGCACTTGTTACAGAGCCATGGCCTTGAGGTAGCAGGCACTATTTTACTTGCTCATGCGAGTGACTAACAACATAACAAATGCTACAATGCAGTTCAGGACAGCAACTCTCTTGAAAGGGGCAACATGTTCTAAAATTTCCTAGAGCCAATCATTCTCTAGACTCACCATTAAGGTAAAGCTCTCATCTGCATTAAACTGGATGCATTTTAAGATAATCCTTGATTTCTGCAAGAGAAAACATCATGACATATTGCCCATTCCAAATAAAATCGACAACAAAAACACTAGGAAAAGAAAGGAGAGAGGGAGATGAAAGAGAAGAAAAAAGGAAGCAGTCAAGTAGTCAGGATGAACTGAGGTTGCAGCTCAGTGGTAGGAGATTTGCCTAGCATCTGGGAGACCACGGATTCAATGCCCAGCACTGAACACAAAACACAGAATCAGATATACAAGAAGTACTTACGAAAATCTTCTCATGACTTTTAATAAACCTTCATCGACTGCACTCATCAATGACAATGTAATGATTGAGATGATAAAGAACAATAATGATAATGTCCTACTAGAAAGAGTGCCCACACGCTAGCTTTTACCTTCAGGTCAATGTAGTATAATCTCTGTTCTCTCATATCCCACTGAGCCCAAACAAAATCCTCAGCTATTCTGTCTCTTCGGAGATGGCCAGAATTTTTAATTACCTAAATAAGCAAAAAGATGTTATAAGTAAATGAGTATTTTTAAAAGAACCTATCCAGAATCATCACTTTATGTAGCCTGTGATACATATAAATATGTCTGCTTTGTTAGCACTTCCCTACCTCTGATGCACCCACAGACTCTCCAGAAAAGTTTAAAGCATTATTACTCTTTTCCTAATGCTCTAAATATACTATGTTATTCTTGTTCCTTGGCTAGCAGACAGACTGGGGCTGTCGGAGGTAAGACCACCCCTATGGCAAAGCAACAACTGCCCTAAATAGGAATTGATAACTCCCCGTTGTGGACAGAACCCTCAGTCGGGCTGAGTAGACCAAAAAGCTTCACTACCCAGGACAGAGGCTGGGACACCAACTCAGCCCGAGGGCCTGGGATGGGAAGGACGGCAGTAAACCCAGTGTGGCCAGAAGCCAGCTGAGCGGCCCTGGGCGTAGCTCTTACCGTGACACCCCGCACAGTGAGTACGATGATCTGCTCCCACTCTCAGCAATGCTTACCTACTCATCCCTAAGGCCCGACACGCGCAGGGCCTCCTGTACAAAGCAACCCCCACCCCCTGCACAGGAATTAATCCCAAAGCCTCCCCTGTGACTATGCACTCTTTCACAGCATCCTCACTTTTCCACATCTTGCTTCCGGCATGTAATCGTACTCGGGGAATTCTTGTTCAAAGGAAAGAAAATGAAATGAAGACTGTACAAGTAAATTGCTAAGGATATTAGACAAGGTATGATTGAACCACATGGTGAATGTTTAAGTCTGAAAAATTATTACAGTAAAAGACACGCTGCCATTAATCCTCCCAGAATACTCCCCTCACTTCAAACACACTTAACCCATCATTCTTGCCACCTTCAGAAGCAGCTCTGGAGGTTCTCTCTCATACATGTCTTTACGAGGTGTGACCAAAAGTACAGTGAATGCTGCTGCGAACGCCTTCCCACAGAAAGGCAGGTCCACGAAAACACTGGTGTGTCCTCATCCACCTTACTCTCTGGTCTAGCACTGTGGGACTTCCGGCTCTTCCCCACAGTCAAAATGACCACGAATGGTAAATGTTTGAAATCAATTCAGAACTTCAAAGCAGCCCCAACTGTGCAACTAAAGACACTCAGGGAAGAGGACTTCAGAACTGCTTCAGAAAGTGACAAGAACAATGAGGGGGATTTATGGCTCTGTGTGTTTTACTGTAATTAAATTTATAAATTTAAATATTCACTGTATTTTTAGATCACACCTCATGATTAAAAAGTATTTTTTGAGTAAATGACATCAGAACTACACAAACTTTAAATTAGAAGATTCTAAAAGCTTCCAGAAACCATCTAATTCAACCCCTGCACTTTACCAGTGAGAAAACTGAGGCCTTGAAGACAAGTTTGCTTAAGTAAGGCCTCGTCTATTAGTTCCCTCAGGAAAAGGCCTGGGCTGAGGTAGAGATAAAGGCGATCATTAATGCCCTTATAGACCTTTGCTTTGTTTCACACATTAAAACAGCAAGTCTATATTTGGAAAGACACAGAATTAATCTATCAATGTATCAATAGCATTAATCTATCTTTAACACTTTAGGGATAAGTCCTCTGTAGAAAAGAACTCTGAAGCAAAAGGAATTTCAAAACTTTACCACTCTATTTCCATCTTCTTTGGTGACTTGGATATGAAATTGCTCAATATCTTTTAAAAAGAGAAAGAAAGATAAATTTAACCTTCAAAAAAAATATCAGTACTCTGTCTAACAGTTGGGAGCAAGTTTTTACAGAACAAATACAGATTAAACAACTGCCTGAAAAATAGTATTATCAAAGACAATAATCTTACCACAGAGACTCAAAAAAAACAAAAAAGAAAGAAAAAGCAGGAAACTACATTTCTCTCTCCTCTTTCCAGTCTGTTTCAGACGCACACTTGTCGCTATCAGCAATACACAATCATTCAGCCCTTCTCCCCCGCCTCAACAAGAACCTGCAACCCACAATCAGTCCCACATGGGGCTAACAAGGGCTCACTTAGCAAGGTTCACCTTCAGTTTCTAAATACCAAACACCTGTCAGTGTGCATCTAGCTAGAAAACTCATTGGACAAGATATTTTAGAGATACATTTTTATGGGGATCAATTTCACCCTGAACACTTTAAGTCAGTTTGTAGATGGTCCCTTATTATCATTAACAATTTAGATTCTGTCCCCCTTACCTTCTGCCAGTTCTGATTACAAAAATGTGAGAAAATTGAGTGAGATCATAGGGACTGAACACAACCCCAACCCTTCAACTCAAGCCTGTCCTTAAACCCTAAGTCAGAAGTTCCTTCGTATAGCATGGAAGCTTACTAGATAAGCTCTATCAGCAAACTGTGCCCTCCCCCCTTTCTCAAATTTAAAAATACCATGCAAGGACATGACTTTTGCCACAATCTTCTTTTGCCTCTACTTGAATTTGGCCAACTTGGTATGTGTCCTCGGATCTGCCAGGGGATTCTTCTTGCTACAAAGCCTCCCTCTCCCCATCTAAGTCTCCTTCCTTGTATGGTGCCATCCACTGTGATAAACATGCTGAAGAACAATGGGCTGAAAGTGGCAAAGATGATCCACACAACTCTTCTACGAGCAGCCAACCATGTGACAAAATTGGCAATCTGTGTATACAAGGGCCCAACAATCTATGTATACAAGGGAACAACACTTGGGCCAAAAGGAAAAGCTCTACCACAGGAATTCTATGGCTCAAATGGCCAAAGGCTACTGGACCCTCGGTAACAGCAAAGACATCTAGAATATTCAGTCATGTCCCACACTTCAGAGGGAGACCATGCACCATTCATGTGCCCCCAGGTACCACATAAAGATGCACTTACATTTCTCTTCTGAAACCAGTAACAGGTGGCTTTGTGGAAGAGGATGACTTGCACCATGTGGGTAGAGGAACTGAAAAAAGGAAATTAATCAAAATCTTAAGCAACTATCTTGCTTGCACAAATACTTCAAAAGCTGTATTTGAAGAGCAGAAGAGGTAGCTCAGTGGTAGAGCACTTGCCTAGCACACACAGCCCCGGGTTTGATCCCCAGTACCACAAGAGGGAAAAAAATTGTGTTTGATGACTATACCACTACTGCATACCATACAAGGGACTGGGACCCACAGGATAGCAGGATAGTTTAGGGGAATCACAGGCATGCCCCACACACACAAACAGACACACACACACACACACACACACACACACACACCACAGGCCCAAGCAAGCAGAAGAGGAACACTTTGAGGACCTTAGTTTCCAGAGAGAAGGTGATCTCTGGTATAACACTATCACCATCCCCTTAAACAGTAAGGCAAAGGTTGAAGCTGTTTCTAGTGACAGGGCTTCCTCCTTGGCATACTGGATTCTGAGGACGACCAGAAGCAATGCAAGCAATCCCAATGAGCTCTGTCCTCTCAGACACAAAGAGGGGTCAGGACATCTGTGGTGCAACTGGACCTTACACAAGTAATCTGAGAGCCATGTAAATGACCTCCCCACTCACTTCCAAAGTCCCACAACCAAGAAACAAAGCACAGCACAAGCAGGGACTTTCCGGGAAATGGTGAGTCATGGTGTGGCCTCTGGTTGGTGAACCCCTCAGAGACAGAAGGACTTCCATGGGGGAGTCTCCCCCATTTCTCTTTCATGGTCCCCTCCATGGGGCCGTAGCCATGCAAACCAGGCACCGGCACCACAAGGCCTGTCCCCATCAGCTGAGCTAATGAAGGAAAATTGGCCATGGGATAACTCCAGGGATTTAATTTTTTCATCATCAAAAGGCTGACTATAAGGGATGATAGTGTTTATTTTTTAATTTATTTGGTACTGTAAAACACGTCTTCAGAATGGGTAAATGCTGTGATGCATTTTGAAATTGTTAATATGTGAAAGATATTACAGATTCAGCAAGAAACGAAATTTGTGCTTCCTTGTTGAATATTAAATTATTTTACTTTGCATTTTATAAGAGTACAAATTAAAACTGAGCCATTGAACTGCAATAAATCAACAACAGTGTCTCATTTCAAGAAAAGGCTGACTATAAACCAGCCATTTCATTTTACAGCAAGAAAGAAAGATCCACCAGTGAATTTTGCCCCCCCCGCCATATTTAAAACATTATCAAAGGACATACAGAACCTTTTATTTTTTTACTTTATAACCATGGGTCTCACCAAAACCTAGGAAAATTTTTGACAAAATATATTACTTGGTGCTCTAACTTTTCGTACTAGTGTATCAGAAATAGAACCGGTCAGTTTCTTTAAGTATTTATAGCCAAATCTCCCTTTTAGAACTGCAGAGCAAAACTTGAGCTATATATCATTCTCAGAGAAACAACCCAAAAATTATAAACCAGGCAGCAATATGGAATCTGGCTACAAAAGTGATATAGAGCTAATTCTCGTGCCTGGTGAGGCTGTCCACACACAGGGCAGGCGCCCCGGGTACAGGGTTGGGGAAACACAGGAGTGTGTTTATTCGCTGAATAAGGCGATTTGACTACAGCAGACAGCATGGACTTCCGGAGCTACAGAGCTGGCCAGGGCCCGGCTGCTTGGGAACAGGACTCAAGGAAGAGCCATAAATGCCAACCTCTGAGCCTCTGCTTGGTCTTCTGGGTCAACTGTTAAGAATGTGATTTTTAAAGGTCCATTTAGGTGGTGCCTGTTTTTCTTTCTGTGCAGCAACACTAGAGCAAGGCCTGAAGGTCAGAAACAAAATAGGTTTCAAACAGCTCTCAAAAGAGCATTCAGGTGGCTTTTTGCATTTTAAATAGGAATGTGGACAGATGTTATGCATTTTTAGGAGAACATGTCTCTTCACGAATGTGGAGACAGACGCAGAGGTTAGTGCTTGTCTCCAGGAGGGAGGCATGCGGGGTCGGTATAGAGAGGTGTGTGTCTCCCCACTCAAGCCACCTGGAGGATGCAGCGCACAGATAGGGAACCTCATCAGGTCTCGGCCCCACCCGGCCCATCCTGCCCAAAGGTGACCAAGACCGCACACACCAGGAAACCAGAGAGAGGAGTTTGGGGCAAGACAAAGCCAGTGAGCTGTAGGGTGGCATTGGTCCAGATGCTGTCATGTGTCATCTACTTTTAGTTTGTTTAACTGGGATAAAGTTCACGTCACAAAATTCACCATTTTCACCACTTCGAAGCACACAATTGTTAGTAGCTTTTAATCTGTTCCCAGTGCCACACAACCACATACTTCTGAAACCCTCTTTCCTTGCCTGGCCTCTAGCCCTTCCTTCCATGATGTCTCTGACCTTTGCCCTGGTGAGGTTGCCAAGGAAGCCACCAAACAAGCAGAAAAGGGAAGTGCACTGTGTCCCAAGGGAACCCCTGCCCCATGACAGCAGACAGAGTGGCTTCCGGGCAGGGAAGGACAGCTCAGGAGTGTTGGGCAGGAGTGGGGAACCACACCCCTGGGCACAGCAGGCAGCGGAACTCCTAGCACCTGGGGGATGGAGCCCCACAGCTGCCCTGTGGAGTGGGAGCCGGAAGAGGCCACCCCAGTGGACTAATAGTGATGTCGCTGCAGCAGAAAGCGAAATCGGGCACAGGAAAGTGTGCCAGCACGACCACCTAGAGGTGACTCTTGCCGTGTCTGGTAGCTGTCGCTCAGACACCCTGTGTCACAACACTGCGACCCGCGAACCTCGAGCCCTGTAACTCACGCCCTAATGAAGCCTGGCTAAGGGGCACACTCTTCCCATCCCGGCCTTCTTGCGCTTCAGACCAGTCACGGCACCTCAGCCCCACACGGGGAGGCCACGTCAGACAATGAATGGACAGAAAGTGCAAAGCCTCCAAAGCGGGGCCCTGGGCTGAGCGGACACCAATCGTCTGCAAACGGCCGGAAAGGGGCCATATTAGTTTCTGGTTACAAAAAATGTTCAGTGAATGAAACTCACAAACACAGAGTCCACCAGTACAGGAGACCAACTGGTCCACCTGTGCTGCACACCACGTGCTTCCGTATCGACTCACATAGATGGGAATTTCAGGGAGTAAGTCCTCTAATCACAGACAATTAGCCTGCCAACCACACAAAGACAGTAAATGAACTATTTTTAAGCTGATTATAAATGTTTTAATATTTGATATTTTATCAAATTGAGAACTTGCTCTCAGACAAGCTGCAGGGTAGCAGAGCTAGAGGACCCGGGTTTAGACCTTAAATTTCCCGTGGCAGGGAAGAGCTATGCTCCTGCCATCCCCCTCCACCGGCTGCTTTGAGGGGTAAATGTGCTAACGTGTGTGGAAGCACTTGGTGGGCAGCTTCCCCCCAGGTTCCCCACCTTTTGAGTAACGAGAGGTTAACTGGTGAGCCTTCTTACCTGTACCCAAACACAGCTATCCACGGCTTTTAGGACCTTTACATTGTTAACAGGGAAGATTTCCACCAGCAACGTTAAGCACTTTGACCCTACAGGAAAAGGAGGCTTTTATTAACGAAGACTTGGCTAGCATGCATTATCTTTTCCAAAGCAACAGGGAGAGAAACTGTGGGTGAATCCTATTATGTGGCTGTGAACTAGCAAAACAATTCTCTCCTCATCATAAAGTCCCTTGACTGTAATTGAAACTGTAATTCGATCCCCAGTTCCACTCTTCAGGGATGTGTGCAGCTCAAAGGTCCCAAAAGAGCAACCAGCTAGCAAAGGACCTGCATCCTGCAGCCTAGGGCATCCTAACGATGCTGCGTTTTACTGTGAGAAACACAGGACACGCAAAGAAGGCAAATGTCAGGAGGGAAGTCTTTGAATAGCCCCGGAAATAACAAATAACAGCAGACCCGGGAGAGAAATGCATCAGTTTAAGTACAAGTGGTTTCTGAAATTGAAGATTATCATCCTTTGTACTCTCGCCACAATGCACAAGGGTCCCTGACAAGCTGGATTCCAATGGGCCTCATTCCTCCCCTAGATTATCATAATTGTAAGATCTACCAATGGGCAATGTCTGAATTTTGAAAATGTAACTGTGTTTCCTATTATATTAGCTATTCCATAAGGAAGAGTAATTATCCTCAAGCTTACTTTGATATTTCTTAAACCTACAGTAGGGGCTGTGAGTGTAGCTCAGTGGTGGAGGACTCACCTAGCATGCATGAGGTCCTGGAGTCAATCCTCAGCAACACAAAAGAAAGAGACAGACAGACAGACATCACAAGGATGAGGTCAAAGCGTGTGGAGGGAAGCACAGCTCACAGCCCCCTAGGCTTTTAAGACTAAATAAAGAGCACTCAATTCAGTGTCCCTCCAGTTCTGTAGCACAGTAGCAAACATCGCTTATGTATAAAAGTATGAAGCTATTTCCAGTGCATGACAGCAGCTCTCAGCAGGACAGTGGCTGGGCTTCCCACAGGAAAGTGCTAGTGACCACTTGGGTCCTCAGCGTCACCTCTGAACAAGTGGCACCAAAGATAGCAATGAGGAGGAAGTCCCTGGACACAAGCAAGGGGGTGACACTGATATCCACATTTAGGTCAAAGTTCCCCTCCCCAGGACAAACCCCAAAAAAGGAAGCACTGCCCTGAACTTGCATTCTTAAGACTCCAAAATAATCCCATGTTCTCTGGATGACTTTATTTTGAATGCCAATGCACAATCTGGAGATGGCAAGCAGCCTGGAATCAATAGCATTTAAAATATATTTAAGAAAGTAACCTCAGCCAGGTGTGGAGGTGCACACCCCTAATTCCAGCACCCCGGGAGAATAAGGCAGGAGGACAAGGACTTTGAGTCAGGCAACTGGGCAACTTAGCTAGGGATATAGCTCAATGCAAAGGCCCTGGATTCTATCCTCAGTATTCCAAGGAAGGAAGGAAGGAGGGAGGGAGGGAGGGAAGGAAGGAAGGAAGGAAGGAAGGAAGGAAGGAAGGAAGGAAGGAAGGAAGGAAGGAAGAAGTTATTATGTGGTATCACAAGCATATAACTATAGAACAAAAATCAAATGTTTGATAAGTGAGACCTTATAACATAGGACAAATAATCTGGTGACAGGATTTTACAACAATTCAGAAGGGCTGTGTTCCTGAAAACTGGGAGAGAAATGAAACTGCAGTGTTTTGAATCTGCTGGATGACTAAAAAATGGCTCCAGGAATAAGAAAGCTATTGATGTCAAAGATACACATGAAGAAAAACAGACTAGAAATGTGCTGTGAAAGAGGAAATAAAGGAGAAAGCAATTTTCCCTACTGACATGTCATTTTAAATTAATATATTAAATAGTACAAACTGACATGTGATTATCTCTTCTCCTAAAAGTTCATCTTTTCCAAGTGGGGAGAAAAAATAAGTTTACCCTTCTGTATGGCAGAGCAGTGCCATATCCCTTCTAAGGTGTCTTCCCAAAAGAGTTAAAGACATCATGTTACAGTAGTCCTGTTCAAGGCCATTTTCTAAATCACAGATGAACTCTGCTATGGCCACAGCCAAGGACAGAAGCTGTGCTGATTTTAAAACCGAACAACAGGAAGGTGGCACTCGATGGTCTTCTCAGCACTCCAGGAGGACCACCAAGCTCAAGCACAGCCAAGCAGCTGGGTGACTCAACAAGATCCTGTGCCCAAATAAAAAATGAAAATGGACCGAGGGTGTAGCTCAGTCCAAAGGCCTTGGGTTCAGTCCCCAGTACTAGGGAAAAAACTATCTTGTAGAGTATGTGGATCAAAGATCTCTGTTCTTTGAAAGTGACACAGTCTCTGTTTTGAAATGGAAAATCTCATGATGAGTGACAGAGTGTTGGCCACACCTTACAGAAACCTGCACTTTTTAGTCAGATGACTTGTAAGGTCATTCATGGGCAGACAAAACAAACCTTTCCCAAATATCTGTTCAAAGGGCAAAACATCACAGTAGATCCCATTGTGCTGGCTCCATCATTTCTGAAATCTGAGGTGAATAAAATGAAACCTTCCTGTGCTGACTGCTGGTGACTCAGAAGGTGTAAGCTCCACCCCGCCCATCTCACACAGGACCCCCGGCCTCTGATTCAAATCCCACCTCCCATCTCTACAGAGAGTCTCATGGGGCCTCACATGAAGCATGTCCCAAACCAAAGGCTTCTTTCCTCCTCCCACCATGCGCGCGCGCTCCAGTTCTGGCAGACAGCCTGGAGTACACCATCCTTGACCTGCTTCTTTTTCTCATACGCCTATCAATCCAGAAGCTAATCCTAACAAATCTGTCTTCTAAATATATATATATATATATATATGGTATCTATACATCCAAATACGACCTCTTATCCCTAGTCCCCTGGCCAGTCCAAGCCACTGAACTGTTTTTCACCCACCCCCTGCTCTCCCCACCCTTCCTGTGGTCTGTCCTCCACACGGCAGCTGCAGCACTCCTTCTGTACAGTAAGTCAGGTCGCGCCCTGCTCAAAATCCACACGATTTTCATTTTATCTACAGTGAAGGCCCAGTCTTTACCATGGCTCCTAAGGTTCTCATGGTCAGCCTGCACCTCACCCCCATTTTCCTTTGGCCTCAGTTTTTTCCACTCTACTCTTGACTACTCTAGTCCAGACACATTGCCCTGCTCAGTTTTTCTTTTGTTGTACTTGGGATTGAACCCAGGGCCTTCATGCTAAACTACATCCCCAGTCTTTTATTTTTTTCATTTTGAGACAGGGTTTCCCTCGGTCTCTAAGTTGCCCAGGCTGGGCTTGAACTCATGACTCTCCTGCCTCAGGCTCCCAGAGTGCCAGCCTTGCTGCCCTCAAATAGTGAGTCCACCAAGTACAGCCTGGGCCTGGGGCATTGGTGCTGGCTGCTGGCTCTGCAGACAGGTGCTTTCCCCTTCCTTCTTTTAGGACCATTTAAATAGTCCCCCAACAGGGTCACCTAGGATCATCTCCCAAGTAAACAGGTGGCACTCAAATCCTTGCCTCTGAATCTACTCACAAGGATTTGAATCTACTCACACAAACCAAGCAGGCGGCACAGAGAGAAAATCCAAGATTGTGTGTAGATGTCCAGCCGCACTATCCCAAGAAACACCAGAAGCAAGGACTTTCCTTTCTTAGACGAAGGGGTTTAGGAGCCAGGTTATTTCCTGGTTTTATCTATGCTCTTGTTCTACAGGTCAAGATACCAGTGCTCTAGATCAGATTTTGCTTCAGCCAGCCCAGCTCCAGAGCTAAGAGTGTTATGGCAACTAGTAAAGGAGGAGGTGGCAGAGCTACGTGGCTCCCAGTAAATAAGGGTAGGGAGAAAGTTTCGATCCAAAATGTCCCCCCGAGTCTCATGTGTTCAGAGGGGGCTTTTGGAAGGTGACTGCATCATGGCGGTGCTATACTCACTGGTGGATTCATCCACGGATCAGTTCAGGCTGACTGTGCTGTTGGGAATGGGCCTGGTTGGAGGGGGTCACTGGCTATGTGACCTGGGAGGCATATTCCTGCCTCCAGCTGTTCCTTTCTCGCTCGGCCTCCTGATTGCCATGGTGAGCAGCTTCCCTCCACCTGCCATTTCCGCCTTGGAGCTGGCTGACCATGGACTTAGACCTCTGAAACCGTGAGCCAAGATAAACCTTTCCTCCTGTAAGATTCAGGTGCCAGGTATTTTGTCCCAGTGACAGGAAAGTGACCAGGACAGGGGGAGTCTCCTGCCCACCACCACCTCCTAGCACTTCTTTTGCAGGGACCCCCTGAGAAGGTCCTGCCAGACTTGGCCCTGGTTCCCTTGACTCTCTAGGCTGGCTCTGTGGAGAAATGTGTGTCACCGGAAGTCCTGGGCTGCCTCATCAGCCTCTCGTGGAAAGTGTCTTCAAGGGTTTTTCCATCACATGCAACCACAGGAGAACACATCCAAGTGGGAACTATGCTTGCAAAGGAGGAGATTTAAGTGTCAAATAAACAGACTTGCTGGAAAACACCCAGGACCCAGAGCGGTGAAGAACTGATAAGAGATCCAGTGACCAGACCCTGAAAAACAGTGGCCCACAGGCAGCTCCAGCCCAAAGGTGAATATTGTCAAATGAGCAAGATTTCTAATCTTCACCAACATGTATAGATTAAGACTTTTACATAACAGACCAGACTTCTCTCTTTTTTTTTTTTTTCCTTCAGTACCGGGGATCGAACTCAGGTCCTTGCGCTTGCGCAGCAGGTGGCGAAACCACTGAGCTAAATCCCCGGCGCCAGACCAGACTTCTCTTAATAAATTGGAAAGCTGGCCCTGTTGGACGTACTGCTCCATGACAGAAAGCCCGGGCCTTATCAGTAGGGACCCCACCCCACTACTTATGCTGATGGCTCCAGAATGCTTTTTCATTAGATAAGAAATGTGCTTGGTTTCTATATAAAAATGGAAATAACAAAGCCACTTCAGTTTTCTCACACTCAGTCTACTTCACTTATGTCTGGCCATGGTACACATTTGCCACTGAAGCCTAGGAATGGATGCCAAGTTCCGGTGAGGGTCAGCACCCTCCTAAATACACTGCACCCCCAAACTGTGTGAAGTTCCCGGGCCACAGCAGGAAGCCAACACTGTTGTGTCATGGAGCAATGGGTGATACAGAATGGTAAATAAAAAATTTAAAACGTCAGGATCATCACATGGCTATCAAACTATCCAGTGGGGTTTGGCAAATGAGTAGAATGATGTTTTATATTGGTGGGCTACTCATAATCCCTTAGGTGGTAGTTAATACTTAACCAGATCATTCAAAAAATAGTATTCAAGACTTGTCCAACCTATACACCAGCTCCTAGCCATGGGATTCCAGGGTATTCTCAGCACTTACTTAGTTTTCAAGTGCTAATTATCACCCCAAAACTTCTTCTCTTTATTGTTATATTAATTTCTGTTCCTTTTTACGTACTTAAAGCAAGAAATTTTTAAAGTCTTTTTCATACTCAAATGACCACTGCCTTTTTGTTCTAAAGATGCTTGAAATTTGATTTTAATCCGATAAATTTTCGTCTACCCATATACATGAAAAAGTATAATTTCACTACCTGGTTGAAGCTCATTCCTTCTTCTTTCTTTAGTAGATTGAACTAAACTTGCAGCTAATGGGAAAAAACAAAATAAAATCCATTAGCAACTGACCTATATGGTGGCTTGTTAAAATTTACCATTTTATAACTGAAGCAAGTGGGAGTTCAAAGGATCTGTCAGTGGAGTATTAAGGTAAAGCACGAAGGATTCTTTTCTGCAGTTATATCCTACAGATTCTAAATTTCAACCCAAATTTCTCAAGAGCATTTCATTCCCAGAAAATCATTGTTATGGAATAATAAAATACAGCAAGCAAAATACAACACTTTGAATCCCTTAAAAGCCTTGAAAGATGTAGTTTAGTCCGTGATATATAGCAATAAAAGAGCTCCACTTACCAAGCAAAGTTCTCTCATTGTTGACAGAGCAACTGATGACTTGCAAGTCTTTCTCAAAGGTATACAGATGCTATTAAAACAAAAATTTTAATTTTGAGTTTTATATCAAATAACAGTTGTACGTAAATAAATTCCCCTTGAGCTCTGTACCGAGTATTACTGTGGCAAAACATTTTACTAAAGAACCCTCAATGAATTAGCTCATCCATCCTGAGACATTGAGATTTTTTTTTCAAGAAAAATAGGCGATATTTAGCCCTGAAACAGTCAGGAGACAACCAAACATAGTGGCTAAGAGCACAGATCTTGGATCCAAACTAGATCCACGTTCAAATCCTGACTCTGCCCCTTGCTGTCTGTGTGACTGTGGACAACTTATTTGACCTCTCTCTCCTCCATCAAGAACCTCATACCATCTCCTGGAATTGTAAGGAAGCTAAGTGAGATGGCATAGAGGATGCACTTAGTACAGTGTGTCACATATAATCACCACTCACGCTTGGGGTTGTACTTATCAAGGTGGTAGAGTTTTAATCAAATTACACAGTTGATATCTGAGGTTATGCCTAAGAGGCTGTCACATATGGGCAAAGATGGCTTCTATCCTTATTTAATCTTTTTAAAATTGCTGTTTGAATCTTCAAAGTAACAAAAGAGCACGTTTTATATTGAAGAACATGAAAATGGCCATGCAGGGCCGGGGATTTAGCTCAGTGGCACCACATCTGCCTTGTAAGTGCAAGGTCCTGAGTTCGATCCCCAGTACCACAAAAAAAAAAAAAATGCCACACAGAAGGAGGTCATGATGTGCACGCACATGACCACAGTTACAGTAGGCAAATTCTCTCCATGCTCACTGGAGGACACAGGAAGGACAGAGTCCTGGAGAGAAGAGATGAGGAGACACAGCGAATAGCATAAGTGTTGAGAACATAGCCAGCACTTGCAGACTAAAACATCACTAAAAAGTATGGCCAAGAGGTAGTGAAAATATGGGGAAAGTCAAAAAGCATTAGAAAAAGTGAACTTCTGAGTTAATTTTAAAAAGGTACTGAATTCTTGTGAAAATTTTTGGTTTCCTTTAAGTCTTATTCTGAGGGATTCTAATTTGTAAAGGAGAGAATCGTGGATTGAATACACTTAGTTATTAATTTATCCTTTTAAGTACAAAATAACACATGAATGTAGTTTCAGTATTTAAAGATGCAAAAACTACCAGATAAAAAGCAAAATTCTATCATAATACTCAGCCAGTCCCAACTGCCTTCCAAATGTCTACAATTTTTTCTGCAGCCTTCTGGATCTTTTAAAGTTATTTTCAATATGTATTATGGCCCCAAATTTGATAATTTTCTTGTAAGTTTCTTTTAAACATAAATAGAATGTATTATTCTGACTGCTTGGTTTTTTTCATGTAACAATATGCTTTGGAGAGGCTTCTGCACCTCTATACATTTATAGTTTTACATATGTAAAAAATGAGCCAGGCATGGTGGCGCACCCCTGTAGTCCCAGCACAAGGCGGGCTGAGGCAGGAGGATTGCCATGAGTTCAAGGCCAGCCTAAACTACATGTCAAGACCCTTTCTCAAAAAACAATGTAAAGAATGCTTCCCAAAGAAGTCACTGATGGGTATTTGGTTTACCTCCCACTTGTAAGTGTTAAAACAAGCCAATGAACTTCCTTTTTGAACTTCATATTTGTGAACCCGTACAGGTATTTCTGTAAAGTCAAATGTCAAAGTGGGATTTCTGGATCAAAAGTTGTGCAAGTATTGAATTCTTCAATTGAGAACATCACAAAACCTTCCCCCAGATGAGCTTATGCAAAAGAGAATTACAAAGTGGCTCTCGAAACTGAACAGTGTGGGGTACACAGCTTCAGCATGGGCTTATCCAGAGCTGGAAATACCCATCTTTCAGTTTTGAGGGTTCAAGACACTCCCAGCCTCTACACAATGCAGCTCTGAGCTCTAGTCCCCAAAGCCACAGCTGTTCCAACCTCGCACTCACAGGTCACCAAACCCAGTGGGAAAGAGCTCCTGCCCTAAGTTCCCAGCAAAGCCCAGTCCACACTTGTATTCTGCCAGCTTATGCCCCATTGGCTCCTGCAGGGACCCCCAGGGTCAGCCACATGAAAGGGAGCAGAGGAGGAGATGAGCAAGGGTGGGGCCGTGCCTCCTTGGGCATTAGTGATCCGTCACTCCCCACTTGACCACTGCTAGGAGAGATGATTCAGTTAAAACTTCAGAGACTGATACCAAGGCAGAGTAGACCCACTTCCCCCTACTCCTCCCACTAAGTACAGCTAAAATCTCTGGATGCTGCACAAAACAAACCTAAGAAGACTTGAAAAGTAGAAAAACATACATTGAGGGGGTGGTAATAGGTCAGTATAGAGCATTTGCCTCACATGCACAACTGTGGGTTCAATCCCAGGCAATGAATGGGGAAAAAAAGCCCGACATTGTAGGGATGGTAGGGCCTGCAGTGAGAGTGGCTTCTGCATCATATACCCTAGATTTAAAGCTAAAGAAGGAACGCAACCAAAACGCTGAGAGGAGCAGACAGAAACAAACACACCCACACTCTGTAGCCAGGGAAACGGGAAAGAGGAAATCTAGCAAGACAGGAAACTTTTAGACTACACCTACCTTATTCCAGTCAAACACCATGGGGGGAAATGCAGCCCTGTTCTTACCTCTACCAACAAAGACTGAGGGGAACGTAGACCCCCATCCTTGTCTGGCTATGACAAAATGCCCTTCTCCCACACCTGGCTGAGTGTTATCAGAAAAGACCAAGCAGGAAGCCAGGACTCCATCCCCACCTGCAGGAATGACCCTCCTCCCACCGAAGGCTCAGAGAAGCCATGTGGGAATGCTGGTCTCCCACTCAGAGCAGCAGTAAGGAGGCGCCCCTCCTCCCTGGGCTGGGGTCCGAAGTGGCCGGATGGAAGCCACAACTTTCTCTTCCACCCCATGATAACGAGGCTTCTGCCTCCTACTCATTACCTGACCCAGTGAGGAGAGGCCTCGGGGGCAGCCTGGAGCCCCTCTGCCTGGGAGAACCCAGGCTCTTCTCTCAAGAGAGTCAAAGAAGGCCACGCAGGGACCCTGCCTTCACCCCTGCCCGAGAGAAGCAAGGCTGTGCTCCCCACTCCCCAGCCAGCATAGGCAGAGCAGGCGAGCTGAAACAGAAGACTTCAGTAAGATCCCGCGTGCACACACAGTACACAAAGTGTCTGAGATCCAATAGAAAACCACACGTCTCACCAGAACCAGGAAGAAAACTTCATCAGATGTGGGCCCCTTGTCTTTGGACTTCCTGGCATCCAGAACTGTAAGAACTAAACCTTTGTTCTTTATAAATAACTAAGTCTCATGTATTCTGTTGTAGTGACTGAAAATGGCCTAAGATAGCGACGATAGTACAGGAGTAAGATTCAACTATTTTATAAAGCTGGTTAAATTTATCATTAATTTGTCCTTTAACCAATTTATTATGTGGAATAATCTTCATATTTGAAATCCAGCTTTGTCACTGGAAAATAAATTAAAAAGCAGCTGCTACGGAGAGAAGCTATCACTGTCGACCCACTGAAAACGCTTCCTGAATTCCTACCACTCCCAAGGGAGTCGGCTGGAGCAATGGGGATGGAACACAGAATGTTCCTCCTTGTTGAGCCCAAACAGTCTCAGGAGAGCTGACTGCATCCACCAAAGACGGCAGTACCCTCCACAGCCAGGTTGACAGCAGGCTAGGCCCTCCTCCAGCTATCTTCCTAGAACCAGACCTCATAGAAATTAAGCTACAGAGTGACTAAAGCTTGAGATTTTGTCTTCTCTTTCCCGAGACTGTGTACTGTTGATAGGACTTGTCTCGTCCACCACTGTGTCCAGCTCCTTACAGGGGAATCACTGCTGGATCAGTGAATTCGCCAGTGAGAGAATGAATGAATATGAGAGAAAAGGATAGAAGAAGGGGAAAGGGAATTCACCAAGTAACATAATAGAACCCCAAAGAGGGAGGTGACCTGTGTGAAAAGTGTAATCGATAAAGAATATTTAAATTCAAGGATGTCTAATGTTAAACTCTAAATTGTTTTTTTGTAAAATGACTCTCATTTTCCCCAAAATGAGACAGACCTTGACCACAGCAACCTATGCCTTATGTGAGTAGTTTGGAGAAAAATTAAGGGGCTAAGTTCTGTAACTGAAATTTTTTTATTCCAAAAATCCATGGGTTTTGAAAAGGAATGAGAAGCAAGAAAAGTAAAGTTAAGCAGAGGTAAAACTCAGAGCCGGAAGTCGTTGTGAATGGCGAAGAACATACAGATCTTAGCGCAGTCATTCCGCTCCCTGCTTTTTTTTTTTTTTGGTACCGGGGATCGAACTCGGATCCTTCCGCGGAACCACTGAGCTAAATCCCCGGCCCCACGCTCCCTGCTCTTTAACAAAATATTAGAATTTGCTTTGAGCCATTTTTACTTAAATCTCAAAGGACTAAGACTTTCACTGGTGTTTTGGTTCAAATGTGCTTACACTTTTTTTTGTTTGTTTTTGTTTTTGTTTTTTTTGTACCAAGGATGGAACTCGGGTCCTTGCGCTTGCGCAGCAGGCGGTGAAACCACTGAGCTAAATGCCTGGCCCTACACTTTTTTTTTTTTTTTAAGATAATGAAGCCAAGAAATAGTAAAGACATAGGGGAAGAGAAGGAAGGCAAAGAAATAAATTTTTAGAAAATGAAACTGGGATTTACTTTTAGACAACAGAGACATAAAAAAAGAAAACCTGAGGGTCGGGGATTTAGCTCAGTGGTTTCGCTGCCTACTGCGAAAGCGCAAGGACCAGAGTTCGATCCCTGGTACCAAAAAAAAAAGAAAAAGAAAACTTGAAAAGCAGTAAACAATAAATAAGCTATAGCTTATGGAGATTTTTACCTCATTTTGTCTGGTTTGGCAATCATATAATCCAAAGACCACATTTCCCTTTCCATCCTATAAAACAAATACCCAAACGTCATTGTTTAAGAAGTTAGTTTGTCACTAGTTTCAAAACAAACCTGCAGTAGTCATTCAACCAGTCTTCGAACAAGCACTTGAATGGAAGCTCGCCATGCGTGTCCAAAAGGAACAGGACCTGACTCCGCTCGCCATTGGGCTCTCGGAGTAAAATGGGGCTGATACCTTGCAGCTCAGTAAGTTGGGGACCCCGTCTAGTAGGAATGGGCAAGGTCAACGAGTCAGGCTTTTTGGGACTCCAATTGTATCTTTATGCAAATCTATATGATGGATAATAGGACAGCTCCTGATTCTTATATATAAAACTTGCACTATCCTTAGCTACAATTTAATAACTTCTTTTAACCAAAGGGGGGGGAGCACTGTGAAATAACTGCAAAGCAAAGATGATTGGAAATAGTCTTTCATCTGTTGCTATCATAGTAAACTTATCAGTAAAGCTAAATTTTTCCCAGAATCCTTAATATCAAATATGCCATTAATGCCTCAGAAATCCTAGAACATCCAATCCTGAATAAACAATCATATTTACTATGCTCTCACAGACAAAAATCTAACACATTAATTAGGTTTAAATATTGACTTTTTCCCCCTGGAAAACGAAGTTGTTCATTTACTCAAAACTTCTGAACTTCAGATATGCAGTGTCAGCTCATTTTAAAAATAAGGCCCTGTGTTCAATCCCCAATACTGAGGAGAGAGAGAGAGGAGAGAGGAAACATTTCATGCGTCTGAATTTTAGTCACTATTCAACATGACACACCCAAAACACAATGTCATGATGAAGTACACAATGTTAAAAATTGAAGGTTTAAAACAGAACTCTGTAAAATGACAGTAGACATGATCAGTAAATTTTATGTACTATATATTTTACCACAATAAGAAGAGAACATAAACATACCTTATAGGTATAAATAATATTTCCGTTTCTTTCAACATTTAGTAGATGTAAGCTCTCATAATTTGTTTCTAAAACATCTGAAATAAGAAAACAGCAAGTTAACACTTGGAGGAAGTTTTAAAATATACCTAACAAATGTATCAGGGAACGAAGCCAAGTATAATACATCCTGATGGCTCGGTTATGCAGTTTAAACGCAGGCAAACCCAACCTAGGGTCACTGACAGAGCAGAGGTGACCCTCATGCCAGGCACCCCAAGGACACCACAGGGACCAGGTGATCCCGGGAAGCCTTTGAAGGCACGAGCTCCACCCATCAGCTAGCTTCCCCAGAGCCCACTGAGCTGCGCTTTCTTACTGTGCGCTTCTCGGTGCGGACATTACACTGCCACAAAGGCCCAGCATCTGCGCATTTTTGCTTTTCGTGTTCTGAAGAGGCTATACTGTCAGGGACACACAAACTGAGAACTGTCACAGAGTTTTTTGGTGGATTAATCCCTGTCAGGCAGGCAGTTGAGAGATCAACTAAGGTACTGAGATAAGAAAAACCACAGCCAGCCCCAGAAGTGAGGGGCTAACCACAAAAAGCACTGGCCTCCGGGTTCCTGAGGCCCCCATGGAAAGGTGTGCTGGGTGAAGGCTCAGAAGGATTCCCATGGGTGTGGGGGACCCTCTCTCACCATCCACATCCTCCTCCCCAAGGTCCCTGCAGTAGTGTACCCAGGAGCAGAGGGCCAGGGGAAGGGCGCAGAGTGGGTCTGCTGTTGGAGTCTGAGCGGAGGAAAGGTACAGGGTCCCCTTCCCCTGGCAGCGGTGGCTGCGTCAGGTGTGTGCTACAAGCCCCCGAAGGAAGGCTCTGGGCAGGAGGCACAGCTCCCTAGCACACTGCCGATGTGCTCTGGCCTGGCTTAGGGAGGTCAGCTTCCCTACACCTTCCAGGTAGGCACATATTCGGGTCCAAAAAATCACACAAGTTTGCAACCCGGAGCTAATCAACCCCTTTATTTATTATAAATTGTACTTTTTATCTAGTCCTTTTTCCTCTGAAGTCTTCTATGTTTGCTATTAAAATAGCTCTGTCCGCTTTCTTTTGGGTATTGCTTGCATGAGCTAACTTTTTCTGTCCTTTTAGTATTAGTCTTCCTGTGCCCTTAAGCTATGCATCTGACATAGTGTCTACTTGTGCTTCTTCCCTAGTCTGATAGTCTCAGTCTTTTAATTGGCTATGTAGTGCACTTACATTTACTGTAATTTCTGTTTTATCACAACTGAAATACAAACGTGTTCATTGAGACACACATCTATAGTACTGTGATTCATAGTACTACCAGGTAAAGAATGAATAAAGCACAGTACATCCAAACAATGGAATATACTGTAACAATGAGAATGAGTTAACCTATAAGAACACACACACAAACAACTGAGCCAAAGAAACCCAGATCCTACCCCACAACCACTGAAAAATGTGCTAGGGATTTGATCCGTATACAAGCTTCAATCTTGTCACCCGAGTGGCTAGCTGAGGGGCTGCCCGGAAGGGGTGTAAGGCACTTCTGGTGCCATGAATGTTCCCTTTCTTCCGAGTGCTAGTGACACAGGGAGTTTCACTCTGCGAAAATCAACTGAGCCACACACTCATGTACTTCTCTGCATGAAAGCCATATTTTGAGGAAGGACAGAAAGATTCTTCACACCAAATATTTAACTTACAAATTACTGATCACCTTCCATCTAAAATTTTTAGGCTAGTCCTAATTCTGTATTGAAAGACACAAACATTGTTGAGTACAGGGTCAATGATTATCACAACTGGGGAGAAAAGTAACTTTTCACAACTTCCTCAAAAGTGATCCAAAATTAAGCAACTGCTTAACAAGTCATTTTTTTCATATGTGAATAGTTTTTAGATGGTAAATATTATTGTTGATTATTACATAAGTCTAGTGTTCAGATAAAAGTTACACAAAATATCCTCTGACTCGAGCAAAGCTCAGCTTGGATTCCTAACGAACAGCCATTATGTTAGTGAGCTGGAGCCCTGCCCTGGAGCTGGGGGTGGGAATGATGTTGAGGGCAGCTCAGGCCTCATCCTGGGTTGCTCTTCCCATCCCTCCACAACGGCTGTGCAGAAGTTCTGGGGGTGGGCAACGTGCAGGGCAAGTGTGTTGCATCCATGAGTGTATCGATTTTTCTACATAACCTGAGCTGTGGGACACACTTCACACTGATTTTAAAACAGAAGGATAATCGTTTGGTCTCTTAGCAGAACAGGATTCAGTCATCTCAGCATGGGGGAGCACCTCATGAGCTCCAGAGTGCTCGCTTGCACCTGGTCCACACCATCTGTGAGGGGCTGCAGTGGGCTTTCACTGAGGGCAAGACTCTGGGTCAGTATCACACAGTGAGACAGTGGTGCAGTCTCCTCCCGGCCTGGAAAAAGGTAAACAGGACAATAAGCTGAGTGCCCTGTGCCAAGCTTACCAGGGGAAAATGGATAATTACTCCAAAACCCTGCTTTTTAAACATCTAAAGAGCATTTCCACGAGTCCCTTCTCATCCTGCAGTTGACTTTGAACTTCTGGAATGCAATGTGTCAACATGGAAAAGTGTTTCTTTCTTTTAAGATTAAAAGGAAGCTGGGACAGACCTTCACACAAGCACACTTCAAAGGTTTCAGCTAAGGTAAGAAACTCCTTTATGGGAGGCCTTGCTAAAAAGGAAAAAAAAATCCAATTGCCTTGCAAAAAAAAACACCTGTATTTTCAAATCACTAAAAAAAATTCTCCAACAAATGCAAGTGACAACAAATTCACATGTATATACATATTCCATTAAACACTGGCTTTCAACTCTGGCTGTGGTAGAAAGATCAAAGGAGCTTTTAAAAAAAACACCGGCCTCCAAACCCTTCCAGAGACATTCTCACTTTCCTGGACTGGGGTGGGAGGCCCACTCTAGGGTTTTAAGTTCCTCAAGTGATTCAAATGTGCAGTCAAGTTGAGAACCAACAAACTAGCTATCTATGTTACATGTTAAGCAACCTTCAGAGGCTGGCACAACTAGGACCAGTGCATGATGTAAACTCGGGAGGCAGAGTTTAAAGAAATAAAAATAATGCTTTCACAGTTACATTAACCCTGCAGTGAAGTACATGGTTCACATTTCAAGGACATTTAAAATAGACAAATGTGGCAAGGTTAGAAATCCAAAGACCGGTATCTCACCACACACCACCCGCCTATCAGCCCTTCCTCCTGGGGTAGCTACTCGTGGTAACACACCCATGGCAAAGGAGTACTCGTAGCCTCTTGCTGATTCATTCGGACTTTTCTCCCAATAGTCATCTCTGGAAAGTCCAGAGGAGGAAGTTTAGCAATTTCAAATAAGGAAATGTGATTTAATTCTACAGTCTGTGTACTCACTGCTCATGAAGAAAACAATGTAGCATTTAGATGGGCAAGATACTCTCATGAGTAAACCTACCAAAGAAAGGAAGGTCTGTAGTTGTGCAAGGTATCCGGCAGCCATGGCTTGTGCACAACAGGAGCTAGTTTATTAGATAGGCTTGTCCCTATCAACTATTCCTTGGCAAACAAAAGTGATTTCAATTTACAGGAAGATGTTGGACAAATGTATAAATTCTATTCCAAATGCTATGGGACACAAAGCAAATTTAAAAATGTATCTCTCCAGTGACAATACTTGGGGAAGATGCAGCCTTATATGAAAACGTGAATTAGTTCCCAAAACACAGATCAAGAAGGTGATGAAATACAATGATACTGATGACATTCCTGTTCTGTTAATAATTCACAGAAGCAAGTCCTCAGGCCCAATATAACTGGGCATTATAATTCCTAAATCTATGAAATAAATATCATAATGTGACAAACTGCATATTTTGAATAAAAAGAGAATAAGCAAGAATGGGGTGATTAGTTAAGCAATAAAAGACAAGGATTAGAAAAGGAAACTAGGGAAGAGAGAAGAGAAAGGACAGATAGTAGCAAGAGACTAACCATGGCAGGCCCTGTCCCCCAGCCATCTGGGGCTGTGCACAAGGCTTGCTCTCCAATCAGTCACCTGGCAAAGTGTATCGAGTCCCTGGCAAGATGAGTGAGTACAAGATCTGAAAGATGAATCCATCTGCTGTATCACAAGTCCAAGAGGAATCAAAGCAGGCAAAAGAAATGGAGAAAACCCACATTCTTTCCAGAATTGTACATAGGGGGTCCCAATTTACAATGTTTCAATTTACAATTTTTTTACTTTACAATACAAATTCAGTAGCAAGCATGCTTCGGATTTTGATCTTTTCCTGGGCCAGCAACACGCAGTGGGATCCTCGCTTGATGCTGGGAAGCAGCAGCAAGCCCCAGCTGCCAGTCAGCTGCGTGATCCTGACAGTAAACAGCCCATCCTCCAGTGCTCAGTGTTGCTAAGCCATGATGTTTGGTAGGTTAGGCATAGTAAATGCGTTTTCCATCTTATGGTAGTCTCCTCCCGTTGAGCCCAGGGTCTTCATCCTGAGCTACATCCCCAGCTCTTTTTTAAAAATTTGGAGACAAGGTCTCATTATGATCCTCCTGTCTCAGCCTCCCAGTGTTCTGGGATAACTTACATGCGTTTTCAAATTATGTGATGATGGGTTTATTGGGCATCAAATGACAGGAGGTTAGGAAAAGCAGCAACTGATAGCCAACCCAGAAACCTTCCGATGTCACCTATGAGAAAAGGATGACAGCACAACTCACTAGCTGTTTCCCCAGGAATCCATCATATTTCTGGAGAACTACTAAGCACCACTAAGAAAGCTTCTATTATATTTGTTGATGTAAAAACTATTAAAGCTGCAGACATAGAAAGCAAGTAGGCAGAGAAGAGACAGTGCCATTGTATATTCATAATTTATATTTGAAAAGTTGGGACTTGGTAAGGACAATAATTTGCACAAATGTGCTTAGTAACAGTTGGGCTGGAAATATGATGGAATCGCAGATCGCCGCCCCCCCCCCCGCCCCCAGAGCATTAAATTATAGTAGAAGGGTTAACCTGTGGGTTTTGTTTTGCACTAGCACCTATGTGCGATTTGAGGGAAACAATTCTCTTAGTGTATCTGGGCTAAAAGTCTAGCCAAGGTCCTCTGAGGCAACAAAATACTGCCAGTACCAGGAAACCAGTACTCCTATTAAATTTAACCTTCCGGGGAGCCATGATTTGTTTTTTTTAACAGAACCTCAATATACAAATTTATCATTCTTCACAGATGAAAGATACAAGGAGGCCAAAATCCAACTGAGTGGCACACGGCTTTGCAATCACAACACACAGTACTGAAACACAAGACTGGTATTTCACACTTGATCTAACTCTTCACTTACATATGCCTTTTACCACTCAGCAAAAGAAGGACCGAGTTCAAGGATTACTTTGTGGTGGAAATCAGGCCTGAGGCTGCCTGTTGTACACAAGTAAGCTAAACCTTCAAAAACTTTGTAGACAGTCAAGAGCCTTTATATGTTCTCTTCCTCCCCCACCCCAAAACGCAAAATCTTTACTAATAATGACACCAACAGCAAACTCAAACAGGAAGCTACACACACATACACGATTTGCATGTTACCTGCCAAGACCAGGCAACATGCAAATAATTACTCTACATCATAAGATGTAAAGTAGCAAGGGAAAACTTCCCCCAGCCTCTAGGAAAAGAGAAATTTGATACTCATCCCCAAAAATGTACTCAGTCTACTCTATTTAAGGAAAACCAAACATAGAAAAGGAGGCGCGCACTGGAGGGGAAAGCTCCCCGGAGACATGGTGGGACCAGAGGAACCACTGCTTTGAAACTGACGCTGCTTTGTTATTTACAGTAAACGCTTAAAAAGAAAAGAAAAGAAACCGGAAACAGAGATCCCCTGTTTAAGGTACGCTGGTGCCGAAATTCGCTACCTGCTGCAAACCGAGAGGCATTTGTGGCCGGTGAAACCCTGCGCCCCCAGGGCCGGGTCCCGGCCGCGGGTCCCCGCGGGGCTGTAACGGGCGCCCCGTTACAGCGTCTCACAGCGCCGCAGCAAATGCCTTAAACGGGAGGGAAAGAGAAATCACAGCTCCCCTTCCTCGAGGCGGATCAGTGCCGGGAAGGCCCCCAAGTCGCCATCGAAGACAGACTCGACGTGCGTCCGGTGCTCTTCGGGGTCGCCGCGAGTCTCCTCCCGTTCTCCTCGCGCAGCCTCCCCGAGCCCGGCCCCGCCGAACCCCCGCCTCCGCGCCCCGAGGGTCGGCGCCCAGCCCAGCCCAGCCCAGCCCCGAACACGCCGCCGCCTGGCTCCCCCGCACCTGCGCCGCCCGCCCTGGCCGCCCGCAGCGCGGGGAGCGCGTCCGCGGCGAGGTCGAAGTCGGTCACCAGGCGCAGCGCCATCGCCGGGCCTCCTCGGGGCACCGCCCTCCGCTTCCTCGCCCCGCCTCCCACCCGCTTTCGGTTCTGCGCTGGGGCGAGGGGAACGAGGACGCGGCCAGGCGAGGACCGTCGGTGGGATGAGGCCGCCGGTCCGCACGGGAGGCTGCGCGAGAGGCTCGGGGCACTGGGCTCCTCTCGCCCGGGCGATCGCACCCGGTGCCGAGGTGGAAACCAGTGGCTGGGGAGAGAGCTGGGTCACCTGCGGGGCGAGGGCGTCACCGCAGCACGGGCGAGCGGCCTTGGGCCTTTTCAACCCCGCTCAGGGAGGCCGTGTTTTACTGTGTTAGGGAACCAGGAGCTGCTGGGAGCCTGCGAGGAACGTGATTGCTTGGAGAGAAACACCAGAGGGTTTACAGCAGCACAAACGGGGCCTGTGCTGTGCGCCCCACGCTGCCTGGGGACGCAGTCCTGGAGACTCCTAAGCCCAAGTGCTCTCGGCTCCGGCTCCAGGGCGCCTGTGTTCTGGGCGCCTGTGTTCTGGGCGGGTCCCCACCCACCCTTCCCTCTCCACCAGCTGGCCTTGACCGCCTTCTCCCTAGCTCTCTCTTTGCTCACAGCGCACCGCTGCCAAGCTCACTGCACGCCCTGTCAGATCCGCTTCCCTGAACCCCAAGGCCCGGTATTCGTCTCCCTAAGACGGAGCTGTCCTCTGTGCAGAAGCCCTGCAGTGACACCTCGCTTCCCCAGGGGAATACCACTGCTTTCACCCAGCCCTTCCTACCCCCAACTCCAGGGCCCAGCTCCATAGCTCCTGATTCCATCCCCCTTCCTCCTGGGAAATCCCAGGCCCTCACGGCTGCAGCCCTCGCCTTGTAGAGTGGCATTGCTAGGACACTTCCGTGGATGATCACGCTGCCTTGCTGCATGAGCATTGAATCCTGAGTCCTGGAACAGCCCCTCTGTCCCATTCAGAGGCACACAAAGCACCACAGAAGATGCTGGTAGTTATGGAAGAACGATGACTACAGCAATAGACTAAAGAATGCCTTTCACCTGTCCCTCAGAGTTAGGGTCTGAAAACTGCACTGCAGTTACCCAAGGCACTTCTTACCATACAGACTCCTGGTCTCCAGTCTGAACTTGGGCAAAGCATTTTAGCCAGAGCCTCAGATGCCTTAGTCTCCCTGTGGTTTGAAAACTACCCTAAACAAACATAAAAACAAAGTCTGGATTTTCCCCATAGACGTGTGTTTCTCCAAGGGAGACAGTGGATGATTTCAGGTAGAGCTCAGCTATTCACTGACATACGCGCAGGAAAATGCTCCCACTTGTAATCTGCATGGAGATTTAAGAGAAATCTAATACTAACATTTGCTATGAATAAAAAGGAAGCCTTGGGCCGGGGATTTAGCTCAGAGTTTCCACTGCCTGTCTTGCAAGCACACGGTCCAGAGTTCGATCCCCCCAGTACCAAAAAAACCCCCCAAAAAATGGAAGCCTCTCATGGTTTATACCTAGATGTCCCCCCAAAGCCTCATGTGCTCATGGGAGGGGCTTTTGGGAGGTGTCTGGATCATGAGAATGTGGATTAAGACCACTGACTGGTGAGCATGCTTCTGGGTATGGACAGTGGTAAGGCCCACCCTGGGTGTGAGTGGCACCAACCAATAGGCTTGTAGCCTGAATGGAAGAAAAAGGAAAGGAAAGCTCACTGCTGCTGTTTTGCTGCCTCCTGCCTACCATGCCATAGACTGTTTCTCCTCTGCCAGACACCTCTGCCATCCCTCCCTGCCCTGGAGCCAACTGGCTGGGGACTGAAACATATACAACCTGTGGGCTAAAAATAAACCTTTCCTCCTTTAACTTGTGGGTGTCAAGTATTTTGTCCCGGCAACAATAAAGTAACTAAAACAGATTTTGGTACTGAGAGTGGAGTCACTGCTGTGACGATACTTGGCCATATAGTTCAGGAGCCTTTGGAACCGGTTTGTGGGAGGAGATTGGAAAGATTTGAAGATGCCAGCTGGAGAAGCAGCCCTGGAATGCTGTAAACCAAGCTTGATGGGAGATTCTGGTCAGAGCTCAGAAGGCCAGAATGTTGACTGTAATTTAGTCAGAAAAGACCAGGCTCAAAAGGTTTCAGATGAAAAGGACTCCACTGGCAGGTGGACTCCCGACCATATGTGTTATACTCTGGCAGAAAATTTGTCTGCATTTTGCTCCTGTCATGAGACATCGCAGGAGACAGACGTTAAGTGCAGCAAACTAATTAATGTGGTGGAAGAAATTTCAAGGCAGTCTACTGTTAAGAAAGTGCCATGGCTACTATTGGGAGCTTTTGATATGAGAATCAAGAGCAAAGAGCCCAGCAGGATGATTTAAAACATTTTGAGTTCAGCCAGAAAGAAAGGTCCAGTAAAGTTGCATTGCAAAGATGGAACAGAGAAGAACTTGGTTGCTGAAAGTATTAGCAATAAAAAGCCAAGTATTTGGAAGAGGGTAATAGAAAAATGGCTGAGGGTCATAAGAACCAGGAGGACTCCACCCTTTGCAGCTTAAAAATCGAAAAGGTAAAAGTCCGCTTTGAGAAGACAGCCCCAGATCACCATGCTCCAGAATGGTAGCAGCCTAGGGAATTTGTTCCTCGGGATTAGGTTCATAGTACTCAGAAATCCAGGCACTTAGCCCTACCCTACAGCCAAGAGAGAAGGAAGCCTGGCTACTGCTCCAGCTGGGAGCAGACTTTTTCCACATGGTGCTGGTTTTAGGCACGTGCAGGATGCAAGAGTTGTGGGATCAGGAAGGCTTCCACCCGGATTCCAGAAGCAGGCCTGGGAGGCCAGGGAGTGTGCCCCTGAGAGGGCAGTGCGTGAAGCTGTGAGTGTGAAGCCGAAGGTGCACGGGAGACCCCAGAAGTGTGGAGAAGCCAGGAATGTGCATTATCTGAGGAAAACTGCAAGGAAGGAGCAGAGCTGGCCCAAGAGAGAAGCTGTGAGGACTCCAACCTCCAACCAGTGCTGCAGAGGCAGAGCCACCCAAGCCCTTTGGAGTTCACATCTTGCCACAGATTGCCCTGGGTGCTACACACGGGACCATGGGATTTAATGTTTGTCCTGCTGGATTTGGGGTCTTGCTTTGGTCCCATTCCTTTCTATTCCCCTGTTTGTACCTTTTAGAATGAGAATGTGCACCTTTCTTCATTGTATGTTGGAGGTGTTTGACTTTCTTTTCATTTGTACAGAAGCTCACATCTAAGAGTTTGCCTTAAATCTGAGAGGAGACTTTGAACTTGGACTTTTCAGCAGTGCTGAAACTGTTAGGACTGCAGCAACTCTTAGAGATGGACTAAGTGCATTTTCCATAAAGGGGTGCACATGAGCCTTTTGGGGTGGGGTGGAAAGTTATGGCTTGTATCTAGATGTTCCCCCAAAGCCTCATGCACTCATAGGTGGGGCTTTTGGGAGGTGGCTGGATCGTGAGTATGTGATAACTGGATTAGTGCACTTATTGGTTTAGCATGCTTCTGGATGTCGATGATGGGAAGGCCCACTCTGGTTGTGGATGGTACCAACCAATAGGCTTGTAGCCTAGATGGAATAAGAAGGGAAAGAGAGGCTCACTGCTTCCTACCTCCTGTGTGCCACACCATGAACTGTTTCTGCTCTATGACACCCCGTGCCCTGTTGGCCTGCCTTGGAACAAGCCAACTATGGACTGAAACCTATACAGCCTGTGAACTAAAGTAAACCTTTCCTTTTTAAATTTGTGAGTGTTGGGTATTTTGCCTCAGCAATAAGAAAATAACTTAGATGCCACTAAATCCAGGAGACACTACTGCAACTAATATTTCCTAGCAAATGAATCTTATTGCCTTTGTCATACAGAAATGTCCTCACCTGGCTGTTTTAAAAGTTCACTAAAAATCCACCTGGGGACTTAGCTCAGTGGTTCTGCCACCTGCCTCGCAAGTGCAAGGTCCTGAGTTTGATCCCTGTACCAAAAAAAAAAAGTTCACTGTATTTCCCTTTTTGTTTTTACAGATAACTTCTATTTTTGTCAAGAAACTCTGATTTTATAGCCATAGACAAGCAATGATATAAAAATTCTCTTCAAAAGAAATTTAAGCTAAAAACATAAAGAAGGTGAGAAATAATAGCCAACCTAGCAGAAAGATGTGGCCAAAACCATGATGCTGCTATATGAGTGGCTGAATTTGGGAGATTAGAAAAGAGACTGGTGTACAGTTACACATTGTCTTCAATTTCATGAAGGGTTAATAGAAGTATGCTGTTGGGTATTCTTCAGTATACAGAAGACAGAACTGTCCTGTCTTTATAGAGCTGTCCTATAGAGTCATTAACACCAGAGCTGGCTTTCAGATGAAATAGGAATATTTCTGCTTCTTGGGAATTTTAAGAATATACTCCAATCTCCCTTAAAATCAGAGCATAAAATAGATTGGCGGCTTTTAAAGATCTTATAATCAAGGTCCTGCTCAAAAAGGTACAGTTGGCAGCTAGTTAACAACCAAGGTGTAGCAGGTTCCTGCACTGGTGTTTATGTTGAATCCAGCAACAGGCAGCTCAAGGGCCGCTTAAGTGACTTTCCGGCCTGAAGTTTCTAGTTACCCAAAGGTCACCTTGATTGGGTTGGAATCCTGGGACCATGTGGAGAAATCTTGACTCCAAAAATAGATTAGGGTTTTTTTGTAAGTTCATCTTGAGTTTTTGGATTTGAAGGAGGTGGAAATTGGAACATGAGTTGAATGAATCATTTGTATATGGAAGATAGTTTGTTAAGCAGAGATGTTAAAATTAAAAGTTCTATTCCTTTCTCCTGACCAAGAATTAGTTTCTGGAACTGAGAAAATATAATTTGACTTTTAGAATTAGAGAATGGTCTATTTAACAAAATCTAATCCAAATGCCAAACTGTAAAGTGTCTAAGGAAAGGACTAAAGATACTAGGTTGTAATTTGCTTTCAGTGGAACAATGAATGTCTAAAAGAACATTTTTATTAACAAACTCATGTGTTGAAATTAAATAGAAGTCAATCGACTAAAAAGCAAAGCTTGTATTTTGGGAACTTGGCCTTTGAAAAGGCAGCCAAGAA